TAAAAAGGTAAAACTGCAAAACTATAAGAATTTTAAGTTTGTAAATTTTATAATTGTACTATTGCATTGTGTACAAAATTTCAAGACAAATGATATGATTGCTTACTTGTGTGTCCCAGAGAAAAACCAAATCAGAATTTGTACACAAATGGAACAGTTTTACATCAGACCAAATAGGATCCATTCTTTCACTAAGAACTGCTTCTTGTAATAAACCACAGAAGTAACATCCTAGAAGTAGCACCAATATATAAAAAAACTCCAGTAAAATTATTGATCAAAGGAATTTATGGGAAAAATCAGGTATGTATCAAAGATAAATCCTTGTTATTAACTAACAAATGCTATAGAAATGGCTGCTTTATGGAATAAAGAAACCAAAGTAACAGCTTAGATAAGGGAGGAAAACTTTTTCTTGACCAGATTTAAAGCTCACATAGTGGATAGAGATCAAAAAACTATTACAAAATCAAGCTTTTTAACAGAATAACCAGCATTGATGATAGAAATGCACTTAAGTGTATTTCAATTTCTAATATCTCCCACTCAAATATATGTCTGGAACATGTTTAGAAGTGAAATAGTATTTACACTGCTGGCCATTAAAATTGCAACACCAAGAAGGAAAGCAAATAAAAAAAAGATATTTATTGTACATAAACAGTATGGCAGGAAGACAAAATGATTAAATTTTCAAGCCATTTGGGGGTTTACAGGGGTGCAAAATTAGTAGACACAGTTGCCACCCCTGGCAGCTAAAATGGCCCTTATCCGGTTAGACATAGAGTAAAACTGGGCTTGGATGACAGAAATGGGCAACTTGTTCCATGCTGCTTCAAGTCTATGCTACGCTTCATTGACTGTATTAGCAGGAGAGGGGTGGCAGGTCAGTCTCTCAGCAACCCATAACCAGATGTTTTCAATTGGTGAGAGATCTGGAGACCGTGCAGGCCAGGGCAACAATCGAATACCCTCTGTATTGAGGAAGGTCAGAACACGACGTGCAACATGAGGTCTTGCATTATCTTGTTGGAAGATGGCGTTTCGCAGGCCTCGAAGATAGGGCACAACCACTGGACGTAAGATGTCAGAAATGTACCGATCTGCATTCAAATTACCGTCGATCCGAACTAGAGATGTGCATGTAATGTACCCAATGGCTGCCCATATCATCACACCAGGTGCAGGGCTCCTATGCCAATATCAAATACAAGCAGGTAACGAGCGGTCTCCTCGGAGCCTCCAGACATGTATACAGCCATCAGAATGCTGCAAGCAGAACCGGGACTCGTCTGAAAAGACAACATTGTGCCACACCTGTATCCAGCTTTGTCGTTGGGCGCACCAGAGTCGCCGTCTCTCTCTATGCTGCATTGTCAAGGGAAGCCGAAGTAATGGTCGTCGTGCTGACAGTCCATGCTGCTGCAAACATCGTCCACCGTACGAGCAGATACTGGACATGCTGCAAACAAGCACATTTCCTGACTAATGGTCCATGATGTGGTTGTACGATTTTGCACGGCCGACCTCACAATATGTCTATTCTCTCAGGCATTAGTCATGGGAGGGCGTTGAGATCCTGCCTGCCGTTCAGTAAGACCCTCAGCAACCCATTGATTCCATATTTGCATGACAGTGGTTGGATTTCGACCAGTGTGAGTGCAATATTATGGAATGATAATCCACATTCTAGGGCAGGCAACAATCCTGCCTCTATCGAATTCTGACACTTGCTAGTAAGCATTTCTTCTTCTTATTCGAGGCATAACATGATATTCTGATGAAACCCCGACCTTACAAAGCGATTTCCGAATGAGAAATCCACTGCACTTTTCTTTTATGCAGTGCTTCAGATGTTGTTTGTCCCTTCTGCTTCGTCTAAATACGCTGAAATACTAATCATTTGTATATTCCAACCTCTTCTTCCTTTCATATGATTTTGACGTTCGTACGATCATTCCTTCCTGGTGTTGCAATTTTAATGGCCAGCAGTGTACATACATGTGTAGAATTACAAAATATGCTATGATGTGGAGATTCTGAAACATGTTTCAGAATCTCCACATCATAGTAGTCACTCAGAAATTTTTACATGTTAAAATATTTGTTCTTGCTAGTAGATGAGGAAGGCCTGTATAAACTGGTATTAAACCTAAATGTTTTTGGCCATAATTTACAATTTTTTGCTAGAACTGTAGAAAAAGATATGGTGATACTCTGTGCTATAATTGTGCAGTCTCTTAAACGTATCTCTGATACAATATATAGAATAATTTGCTTCCATGAAATATTAATTTATTACTTTCCACTCTCGTCAGTCAATTATTGAATAAATAAAAAAGTTTTACGATGCAATAGTTCAAAAGGTGGTAGGTAACCTTTGAAATACTTCCCCATGCTACTCCTATGCACTACTGTCAATATCTACCACTACTAGAAGCTGTCAGCAAAGTCATATTTTGCAACTGCTTTGAGAGCTGCAGCATGGCTGTTTGAACCTTGTCAGATGTGAAATGTCAACCTTTCAGCTATTCCTTCATCCTGGAGAAAAGAAATGCCTACAGATACTGGAGATTGGAAGAGTAGGGCAATTATAGCTGCAAGGGCACATTGTTCCTCAACAAGTACTCTGTGGATCAACATTCTATGGTTGCTTTTGTTGAATAGCAACTGAAAACATTTCAATCTTTATCTCTTTGCATCAAATGTTTCATATAAATGTATAGCAGAAGGTTTATTTTGAAGATAATCTATAAATATTTAGTAAAAGTCATTTTGTGTTAATAGTAAGTGAAAGAGTAAAAAATTGTACTGAGTTTTTGGAAAATCTCTAAATAAAGTGCAATTTATCACTAACACAAATATTTTCTAACAGTTATCCAGAATATATGAATCAAAATTTATCTAAATGGAAAAAAGAAATTTTGCAAACAAAAACATATCCAATTTAAACAATTAGAGGAAAAACACAAATCCAAACAAGGAACATCTGCTTCAATGGAAATAAACTGAAACTAAGGAAGGACATAAATTGAGAAAATTCTATTGTATCATTTTACTTAAAGTATATTCCAGTAAATTATAAATATTTTCTAGTATCTGTTGATAAAACAATTATAAAATAGTTACTCTCTTTATAAACTAAACTAGAAGCTAGTAATATAAATTCAAATGGTATCTTTTCTCTGGTGACAAAAGTTAAAACTAATTTTTCTATACAATTACATTCCGCATATTTGAACAACAACAAAAAAAAGCAAAAGAATTAAAATGTTTAAAAATATAACTTTCATACGGTATCAAATTTCTCCATAACACATCATTTAATTGCCTGCAACCTATTCAATAGCAGTGCTGAGTAAAAAACTTCATACTTCAATGATTACAGTTAAACACTAAATAGCTATAAATATTAAAATACATATAAAAATATGAGGTGTAAAAATTTTCCCTCCATAAAAAAATACTTTAAATTCACTTTCAAACTTGCATGTCTTACAATCGAGGAAATATAAAACGAATTAAGTAACAACAAATTAAAAAAACAATACAACTATCTTGAAACAAGTATTGTTTGGCAGCATTTAAAATGTCATCTTGAAGGCATTCAAAATGTTAACAATTAGTTTATAATTTAAATACATGTTGTCAGCAAAACTTATTTCAACTGATGAGTGTTGAGCATATCTAAAAACAATTAGTAGTCATTATGCAATAATAATTATTTTGGGCTGCACATGTAAGACATTATCCATTTTTTTGCTTGTTCGATTGACAAAGGAGAATGGGTGGAGAATAGTACTGTACAGTACATCATTGTACAGTACACGATGGAGGATTGAGGTGTCCAGGCACTATGTATCTACGTGGACATGTTTTAGAGGTATCAGTGGCATACATAAGCCTAGTTACTAGTGATGTTTTATAAATTATCAATTAGAAAATATTTGCAGAACTTTTTAAAGTAATTTCTTCAATGTCTGAGGATCAATGAAATATTATATATGTAATTAAAAACATTGTACACAACACGGAGGAAGGGATCAAAATGACTCAAAAATTGTACCCTATCATTATGAAACTAGTTCATAAAACATTATCAGATTACGAAATAATACTTGGAAAGACATTTAATACCCGTTTTCTGATATTCACTCTAATTTTGTAAATTTTAAAAGGTTGAATAAACGAATACATTAATCATAACGAATATAGAAAGGTAATTGAAAATGATAAATAGCATTATTTTTGTCCTTGCCCTTCATCCATGACAAATATATCTGGAAATGATGGCGATCATGTCCATTTCGCAGAATCATCAAAACTTAAAAGATTATAGGAAAGAATTTCGAATTTTTTGGATGACAGATCTACAAAGATTAAAATCGTGCATTATATTCGAATTACTTCCACGTTCATCGGACTTGAATCCTCCTCCCCTTGTGCGTGTCTGCATGCTTGAGTGGTCATTACTTGATTATCAACCGACAAGGGCGTAGCAAGGTTACATTGAGTCCGGCTCGTGTAGAATTCCAATACGAATAATCGGATCTTTTCAAGTTTTGAAACAACTGGAGCTCTACAATCGCCAATTCAATAAATATTACATAATTTCATAATCTACCAAGCGTTTTTCTCGATGGCGCGGAGAAAAGGCGGAATATATTATAAGAAAAATAAGAACTGATGTTTAATTCGAAGATTTCTATTGTTTACAATTTATTTAATGACCCCAATAACCGAATTTCCTTTTGTCCTTGATAATGTCCTAGACTATTAATCAAGCTTGCCGATAATGCAGTCGACCTATATAATGATACCATAATCAACGCGTATTCAAGTGCATTCGGCGAAAGTTTCGAAATTCAATCATCTTTTTCGTGAAAAGATAAATTAATTCTCTTAACATGATTAATACATAATTTTCGTGCGTAATTCATTTCCACCATTTATTTAGCGTTTTTTTTTTTATCTATGTCGAAGCTTACTAGCAACGCTTTGTCGAAAAGAAAAAAAAATCCGAGAAACGACAGGTAGCGTGTAATTTAAGACAACGCGGTCTATTGTTGGATGTCATCCACATTTTCGGGTCAATGTGATTCAGATCCAATGCATCCTCCCGCACTATTTCATTTATAAAAGAAAGGATGTTACAAGATCGTGCTACTAGATGGCGACGCCCATAACTCGCGTGACTCCGTTGCTAGGAGACGGTCTGTATTTAATTCTTATTGGATGCAGTCTAAGTTGACGTCACACCGAACAAATTTTTAAATTTAGAAGGAAAAAAATTCGAACAAAACTTTCCGTTTTTGTTTATTAATGCAGTTTTTTTTTTATTATTCGGTTGTTTTCGTTAAATGATTTTCTGCCACGATAAGGAAATTCGTGACGGGATGCAATTCGGATCTAACCTGACATTTCGATCAAACGATTGACATTAAAAACGGCCGTAAAAGCAATTCTTGTGTATAAGTCGTGTAGGTAAAGTGTTACAATGTCCGATAGCTGATCGGGTCAACTAATATCTATTACATATTGAGTTTCCATTACGCTTCGATCTTTCAATGGATTCAGTCACGAAACCCATCGACTTTTTTTTATCCTCGCTTTTTTCGCCATTCACCTTTTTTAAATCCAATAAGATATATATTTTACAATACGTACACAAGAATATTTTAATAATCAGATTCTACAGATTTATATAAGATACTAAAATCTGTATCTGTATCAATCTATGCCTTCGGTTATAATTTTCTACGAAGAAAAAAGTAGAACACGGTGATAGAAAAACATTTTCTTAAATAATAATAATAATAATAAAATTTAAAAAAATATTATATAAGATTATGAATTTAAATTTTTAAAAATATTTTTCTTTTTTTGCGTTTCGAGGACGGAACAAAAAAGTCGAGATGCGCTGATTTGTGTGGCATAGCCGCTCAGCAGTTTCGACAACTCCGCCCAGACGGACAAAGGAAGCCACACAATGGCTGGATTCGGACATGTTGCTATCAGTGAAGCGGAGGATAGGTTGCTTCCGCTACATATCATTATTCCGTAAACAGCGGCGTGGTAACAACCCGACAGTCCAACCTTTCGATTCCGTATAGTGGGGAAGCGATAAGGAATCTGCTTATCTATTACACAGCCGAGACATGTGATGCTAATTCGTGTATCTGCCATGTAAGAGCAGCATGTCTTTGTGGAAGTTTTGGAACCCGAAACACAAGAAAGAAAGGATTACTCAGAAAGAAGAACACGGCAAAGATGATCAGAACGACGGTTCTCCCGCTTTCGATCGACAGAGGAATCGTCATCAGATGTCAGTCTCCAGATCGGGAAGATACAAACAGAAACATCGAAAACGAACGGGTATATTGGATAATCCGGATTTCGTTAACAAGTCGAGAGATACGGAATCGGGAAGAGAAAACCAACCTCCCATAGACGGCTGCAACGAAAACTCTTCCCAATCGGACGATAAATCCGTGTATTCCTCCTACCTGGTAGAAAAAGAGAACGAAGCCATGAGACAGTCTTGTCAAAACATGGAAATATCCGCTCTGTGAATGTGAGGTGATCGTTTTATTTTAATTAATAATTTTAAAAAAACTGCTAAAATGTCCGCAAATGGCACCGTTTTACGGATTACTTCTGTCGAAACCGATCGCGATTTTTTTTTTATAACATCTCAAACTGCGACGTAGGTCGAATTATCTAGTCTGACTATCGTAAGAGGGAGACGGTAAGGCAAGATTAAGTGAAAAATCACTTCAAATATTGTATATAATTACGTGCAATTTTTTTTGTACATCGTGTACAGAATTCCCGCAGTTGTTAAATATTTATTTTGTAACAATTCGAATTTTTTTTTAAATGGATTCTGTAATTTCCTTTTAGACTCAAAAAAAAAAAAGTTATTGTCTATCATTATCGTAAATGTGTTCTAATTTATTTTTCCGAACGTTGAACAATCGGAGTAATTGACAGAAATGAGATTAATTAGAACAACTAAACTTTTATCTTTCGAACAATTCGTTGCATCTAATTATCATTTTAGCGTGACCGAATATATCATCCGGTGCAAGAGATAGAAAAAGCGAAACTGCTTTAAAAAATACCTTTTAAAATTTTAACTAATTATCTCGAAATTACGTAGACTATAGACTTAGAGATGATATATTTCTTTATCATCTAATTTCAGATTGATAACGGAAGGTGACCTTTCTGTCCATGCATAGGTTTTATTCAACCATTATTATTATTATTTTTTTAATTTTATTTTTGAACTAAATATTCGTCAGACTAAATCGAATTTTTACTATTTAAAACTAAACATTTTATATTAAATTAGATCACTAAAAGTATTTAAAATAGCTCATCTCAATAAAAAAAAATTNATGCTTAGGAAACTGTGGGATATTAATCAGAAAATTCTGTAAAAATTCCGGATTTCACAATAACAACAAGCAATAATGGAGTAGAAGAGATGAGCTGGCTCAAAGCACTTTGAAAGCCAATATTCATAAAAAAAAGTAATGCTCTGTTTGGTGGGATTTTAAGGAAACTGTTTTTTCCAGACAATTGGACAAATTGAGTGATACCATCAAACAGAAAAGGCCAGACTTGATCAACAGAAAAGATACAGTGTTTCACCATAATGCCTCACAAGTTTGATAACTTGTCAGAAGCTGTTACAACTTGGATGGAATGTGCTACCACACCCATCATCCTCAGATTAAGCAATTTTGTAAAGACCAGGACAAGTAACAAACGATAAAACATTTACTTCAAATGAAAATGTCAAAAATCACTTGGATCAGTTTTTGTAAGTAAAGATCGAAACTTTTATGAGTGTGGAATCATGCTACCACCAGAAAGATGGCAAAGATTAGACCAAAATATATAATTATTATATAATTCAATAAAATAAGAAAATTATTATTTTTTTTTCATAGAAAAAACAAAATTACTTTCTGAACAACCTAATATGTCAATAGCCTTTACATTAAGGTATTACAGCAAGAAATACTACTATTTTTGTTAACAAATCTGTAGTTAACTGGAACAAAGGTCTACAAAAAAGAACAAAAATCAAACCAGTTAATTTGTTTTTAGATTTAGACAACAGGTATTTCTTCTTTTTTAATATTGTAATAAATTGTTTATAAGAAAATAATAGAAGTAGCAATTTTTCATACTCTGATTTTAAAACATATTCTTCTAACAGTTGCTTATCCTGACTGACTGACTCATTCACTCACTGATTCATCATCGCCCAGGAACCTAAAAAGGTGAAATTTGGTACACAGTTAGGGTATGTCATGAAAACGCTCACTAAGAAGGGATTTTTTGAAATTCCCCCACGGGAGGGAGAGGATTAAGTCTTAACTGGAAGAACGGCTTCTACTGTACTATTTTAGATGCGATTTTTTGTTACTTTTAGTCTTCATTAAGTATTTAAGTGTATTAAATTAATAACATTTCAGACATTGTTATAAATATTTTTATATATTTCAATTTTTTATATTATAGAACAATTGTAAACGTTCCAGAAAATTGATCAAATTGGGGACAAATGCCCTGAAGTGCCGGTGTCTCATCTTTTTATTTGGTTTAGCCTGGGAAAGTACTCGTGTCTTTCTTGTATGTAATGTATCTCATCAAATATGGAAAATCAAAAGCAGCATTTTTGGCATATTTTGCTTTTTCATTACTGAAAAGGTGAGAATGCTGTTCAAGCAAGAAAAAACTTGTGTGACGTGTACAGAGATGATGACAAATCTGGTTTGCAAAATTTTGGTTCTGGCAATTTTTATATTGAAGATGCACCACATTCTGGAAGGCCAATTTAAGCTAATTGAGGACAAAATAAAGATATTGATTGAAGCAAACTGCCAAATAACAACACAAGAAATCACTAAGAGATTAAATTTGTCGAATTCAACCATTTATGATCACTTGAAATGACTGTTTCATTTCATTAAAGAGAGAGATTTGCTCCGTCGCATTGACACCTGTAATTTGCTTCTCAAACATCAAGAAAATGATCCATTTTTGAAGTGAAGCATAACTGGTAACAAAAAATGGATTTATTATAACAATACTGTGAACCGCTGGGAAGAGTTGAAGGGCTCCCTGTACGGCGACAGGTCGTGAAACCTGATCACTGTCAAGATGGCAAAATTTTCTCTTTTTCCCTCTGTAACGGGATTAAATGTTCGGATCGAGTGGTGGAGGGAGGAGTGCCGTCGGTAAGGGGATGGACTATATACGAGTAAACGAAGAGGCAAATTTTAACAAGAAACAACAATTTATTAGATCTAATGGCGGGTAGTACAGCATCTAGTTCGCATCCCTAAGGNATTATTATTATTATTTTTTTAATTTTATTTTTGAACTAAATATTCGTCAGACTAAATCGAATTTTTACTATTTAAAACTAAACATTTTATATTAAATTAGATCACTAAAAGTATTTAAAATAGCTCATCTCAATAAAAAAAAAATTCATTAATTTAATAATTAATTTCACAGTAAGTGCGAATTCTCCGTTTTAGAATTATGAAATATTCAAAAATATACTTTTATCGTGGAGACAGGTGATAAACGTTCGCTTTAATAAATATTCGTCACCTTTTATCAATTTTGCATTTTACGTAAAGTTCATATTTACTTTAAAACTGTTTAATTTAAGCAGCGGGTCGCCAAGTTCAAGGTCAACTAATTTGTTCCGGTACATCTTTTGTGTTTAGCCACCAACGAGCGGAAACAAAGTCACTAGTCTGTCACTTCGTACGATTCTTATCGAGTCTTAATTGTCTGTATTTTACTCACTTTTTTTTTTTAAATCTTCCAAAAGTTCCTCGCCTCGTACACTTCCCCCTGTCGAATTACCGGATATGACGTTTTCCACATCCTCAATGAAATGCCTTCTAGCGAAACACCTGTTTTTTCCTTTTAAGAAATTCGTAAAGTAATTTTTCATGTAGACATCTTCACACTTTTTTCATATCTACAATTAATTTAAAATATAATGTTAAGTAAATATATCAATATAAACACATAATATATATTATCTGTTTAGTTTTAAAGATAAAAGTATTGTAATCTAAGAACAATATAATTTTAGAATCAATTTAAAAACTTTCATTTATATTATCTGTTCTTAATGTTTCCATACAAACTATGGACTCATCATCTAATCATAAATTATCGATGAACAATAGGAAGTTTTAATTGAGGATGTACAGATTTTTACAACTGGATAATTTATGAAAAGATAGTATTGATCAAGGTCACTCTTATCTCTGTCATCTTTGTGATTAGTTAAAATATATTCTTATTAAATTCAAAACACGTTTATATTTTAAATACCAGTTATAAATTAAGTTTAAAAATCCTTAAGATTTGCCTCAATTATTCCAAATCGTCATCCGAAAAGCACGTTTATCCAAGAATACTCTATAAAAATACTAAGCAGGACGAATTGATAAACACGAAACTAGTGCAGATTACTAGACCCTTTTTTTTGGCAATTTCGTATTGAGGGTAAACATAGGAAAGAGCTCGGTTCAATGACATTTTCTAAACCGGAGATCCATCATATTGTCCGTCCAAGTGGTGACATATCAGATTTATAATGTCATTTCCTCTAGCAGAAATCGCACTGACGTACTTAATTCTATTTAATTGTTTCCGAGTATTGTATATAGTGTCAAATTGGTGGATATGGTCTGAAAATTCACAATTTTATCTTCTATTTTTAGAAAATGCTAAGTTTGACTCACAAGAAGGGGCACATTTATCGGAAACTTTCCAAGAGACGAAATTAAAACGATGAATATTTTTAACCTTGGTGTTAAATAACAGTATATATGTTTGGGATTAATCGCCAGTATAGTAAATTCTGTGTAAACATGCGCAACATTGAACACTTAATTATTGATGTGATACTTACCTGTGATTTTGTATTCTTTTTTTTCCTTTCTTCTTCTCGTATGTGGGAATCGTACCCAAATAACTTCGGATAATAAATAGGTAAAAAGAAAAAAGAAAAAGATTTTCAAAGTTGTGGGAACTTGAGTCGGATCGTTTGTCACAGATTGTTAATGTCCACTTTGTTGTGGCTTCGGATGGCTAGTCAACAGCTGTCTTCGATGAAGCTGAACGTCGATGTTTCCGGCACTTTTTATCGTCACGTAAATCACATTAAGAGTATCGTAGATTTGAGAATTTTTCCAGTCAAGAGTTTTCCTCTTGACTCACGAAATTCCCAAATCTTCTAGCAATAATTAATATTGTGTATTACAAAGTCCGTCTTCGGAATGTTATATGTATTATTAATAAAAATAGCATTCCTTATTGGAAAGAAAGGAGTGGAGAGAGAAAAATTAATGAATGCATAAAATACATAACAGTATATGCGTTTTAATTCTTCATTAAATACATTTTAGTTAAACTACAGTTCACTTATTTCAACTTGCCTTTATATACATTTGATTGAAATGGAAATGAAGATAAGGGTATAAAAACCTTATCTATTTAATAAGAGATTTTTGTGAATTACAAAAAATAATACAATTATTCTTCTTTTCTTTTTTTTTTTTTTACCAAACTTGCACTAAGTGAGGTAGTCATAATTAGAATCATTTTTTAACATAACGAATATTGAAAAATATTAATTATACATATTTATATCAATTAATATATCATTTATTATAAATTAAAAAATAAATAAACATATAATTTACAAAAAAATTTTGATTCTTAACTGCAGTATATGGAAATAATAAATTAAAAACTTTGCAGTTAATTTCTTTTAACAATTATAATGAAGGCATAAATATAATAAAAGCTGTTATGTAATTTCTGTTACTTTGTTATTAACAATTCTTAAACCCTTCAAAAACAACAAATGAGCCAATTTTCATGATGTTTAAGATCATATTACAGTATTTATTTACTTTTTTGCAGTTTGAAAATTTCACAGTAGTTTCTGATTATTGGCAGCTTAAGAGGATAATTGAAAATTATTTTTTTGTCCTTTGTGATAAGATTCGTATACAACTTGTACCTAAATCTAATTTTTTTTCCTTTTTTTGGCAAAACCTGACACCAGTGAAATAACCACATATATAAATTGGATTTAAAAATTTTACATTTAAACTAACATTCAAAATTTAACATTTATCATAAAATCTGATTAATTATAGTTAATATAGCATTAATTAAATATAAAATTTACACAATTCTGATAGACAAATTGTAGTTTTTGGTTTTATTCAATGTTCTATATAAAATTGAAAATTTCCAACTGTATCAACAAATTTATTTGCACCATTATTGTTCTTTTTAATGATAAAGCGATTCAGAATGATTTTTTTAAGCAACAATGGAAGAATGAATCATTCATTTAGTGATTAACAACAGAACTGTTACATATAAATAAGATATTAAATGTATATTGATATATAACAGAATAATGATTATTTTCTATTACTATTGAGAGTATTTAAATACACAGAGTGAAAATTTTTAGATGGCCAATTCTCCAATATAAAATGAAAAAATACACAAAAAAATAATCAGAATAAAAAATAATAAAACTATATAAAATTTTTTCAACTTCTGTTAAGCAATGCACTTTTTTTTTCTTATAAAAGTTCTGTAAATATTTGGCACTCTTATTAACCATCTGGAGTGCAACAAATAGAATATTCAAAATTTCCAATTGCTTAACCATTAAATAATATCAAACATTAGCACCCTCTGAAAATATTCCAAACTGGAGCATTGCAAAAAAAAACACAATACACAAATATTCTCTCTGATATTTTAAAGATATTTATGCAATAAATCTGATCTTCTATTCTACATTTAGATTATATAAATACTATATATATATATATTTATCATTCTTGAAACATTTTGCAAATTTATAAGTTGGAATTATGCACAAATTACTCAAATAGTCCTATTAACATTTTATCACATTTGGAATGGTCCTTTCTTTGTGGAAGATGACTTTAGTTAAGATCATTAATCCATTTTACTCATTTCTAAAAACTGTGTATGTGTGTATGTGAATAATTTTTCAATTATAATATTCAATACTTGCATCAGATCAGTAAACGTTAAAAAAAAAAACAACATTATTTTATATAAAATCTGTATAATGCTTGAAAATGTGTAGATAAAATAAAAAATAAAAAAACCAGTTTAAAATATAAATGATTTCAGATGATAATTAAATTTTAAAATGCGGAGAATGCCTTATTGCAATAACTATGGACGTGAATTGGAATATTAAGGAAATACTACTTTTAGATGTAGTGGACGCTAACGTTCAAACAGTTTTTTCTGATGGGAAATAAGCATCTCGATGACATCCTTTTCTAAATGCCATGCAGACAATTGATGATCTGGTGCAGTTCCTATTTCAGGTGAACGTAATAGAGTTGGACAGAATACAGTACTAAGATTTTGAGGGGTCATCAAATTCTGCTTCCTCTTTTCAGCAACCCTAGATATACAATAAAAAATGCAATAAGATTGCTTAGAATACTTAAATCTTTATACTTATAAGAACTTTATTACTTTATACTTATAAGAATATGTATAAACCTAATTATTATTGAAAATAAATATTAAACATTTTGATTGTTTTAAATCAAAATCTTTAATATTTAAACATTACAACAAACTTTATATATTTTAAACAACTTAACGAAAATAATATTATTTCCATATTATAAACTCCATTTTGTTTACCACATTGTACAATATACCAGTCATAAATGAGACATTTGTGAAAATACGATAAACAATTTTTATCAGATTTGTGGAAAAATTAGGCAGTAGAATTTCATCCAGTTTTTTTCTATATTAATTTATTATAAAATATGGTAATTATATATCATTTGAAAGCTTGCCAACCAAAATATTTAAAAACTTCTGACAATACTGCTCATTGATGTAGATTCAAAACGGTAAATAACTATATTGGTTTTTGTGGAATATTACAGTTTTTCTAGAAAAAACTCTAAATTACAAAAACTACTTTGGAGAAAATTATGTTGTATAAGAAGACAAGGCAGTGAGTAAATCCATGGTAATGAAATGGTTCCAATACTTCCAGGCTGTCAACATGAGAGAGAGACAGGCCACATTGTAAAAAATAAAGATGCACTAAAGCAGTTGAGAATTATTTGAATGTTAAGTGTCACTACCACCATTCAACAATTACACCAATTAGAATATGTTCAAAAACTTTCATGCAAGGATCCTAATGACCTTATTTGCCACCAGACAAGAAAGCAATTAGACATTTGCAAGAATCTTTTGCAAAATCCACCAGATAACAAGTCCTACAATGCATCATTACCTGTGATAAAAAAAATGGGTTTTCATGCTTAATTAATCTGAGACACAAAAGACTATAGGTATACCATAGTGAAATGCCAGAACCACTAATTAGACAAAACAATTTGGGCCAAAATTTCATAATTTCTGTTTGGTGGAATTATGAAGGAGTTTTACTCTGATATTCCACAAGGTCAAGTTCCTTTGCTTAATAAAGGTTCCTATCAAAACTTATCCACACACGCATTATTATTCAAATCCAAGACAGATATCTCGTAAGGTCTCCTTTGTTAGCCAAACTGAGCTTGTCAAAGCATTTAACAAACTTTTATATACTGTCTTCATACAATTCTGCCACTTGTAAATTAAGCCATGCCTTAAGAAGGAATTACAAATTTATATTTTTTTTATTGTTACCAGAAAAAGGTAAACTTTCAAAAACATTATCACTTAACATGTAAATTATTGGTAACTTTTAAATTTTGACTACAAATGCAAAAACTGGCACACTAGTGACTGTTTAGTTGATTATAAATAAACATGAGTCAACACGTACCTTGAACCTGTTACTGGTGTGGGTGATATGACGGATAAATATCACAAATGTTTTTGAACATTAATAGTTCTTCATCAGGCAATATAAAAAAAAATAAAGGAACAACAGAACGCAAAACTAAATAGAACATGAATATTTAAAATAGAATAGAATCCATGTCTGGTGTAAAATCATTGGATTGGACATGCACATTCGATGCGGGTAGTCGGCAATTAAAGATCGGTGTCCAAGAGGGCTTGCCATGCGACGGACAAATTCAGTTGTTCTTTATAATTTATGCACGTGGTGTATGCACGTGGTGGTGCAGCTAGATTGATAAATGGAAATAGCCTCCAACCACTTCAGGTGCTCAGGGTGGGGAAAGGTGATGATGACCCTCACTTGGTTGAATGACGCCTCGATGTCAGGTCAGCTGCATAAACCACAAGAGCCGTAGAGTTCCTCCCATGTAGAATGTCTGCATTGCGCTCACGTATTCTGACTCCCAAGGAGAGTTTGGTGGATTTGATTCTATTCCAAATATTCATGTTCTATTTTGTTCTGCGTTCTGTCATTCCTTTATTTTTTCTTTTTGTTTTATATTGCCTGATGAAGAACTATTAACATTTGAAAATGTTTGTGATATTTATTCGTCATATCACCCACACTGGTAACAGGTTCAAGGTACATGTTGATTTCATTCCATCCTGGTGTTCTTTGAATGTAGAAGTTTAAACATGAGTCAGCAACTAAACAATCTTTAATGTCTATGACCAATTAGAATTCCCTTTTCTGGGCTACAATTTTCAAATTGCAGACCTATACATTTCTACCATTGCCATCTGTCTGTCCTTTGTTAATCTTGAGAATGGAGTTAGAGGATGAAAATCAAGACCAGATAAGGAAAGCTTAGGGGGCAGAGGCACTAATTAACTATGTACAAACGTCTGGGTCTGGACTGAAATCATGTGATTTTTTTAATTAAAATACGACTAAAAATTGTGATAGCATCAACATGATGCTATCACAATAATATATATTCAAGTTTTCTATTTTGAAAAGCAAGTTTCACCACCTCAAAAAACAAAACATATAATTTTTTTAGTTTCTATGATTAAAAAATGGCCAGTGTGAGGACACATTCAAATAAACATTTTCCATTTTGTCAACTAAAATTGCTAGTGCACTCTAGGCTTTATGGGTTAACAAACAAATTGACAAACTGTCCAGCATAGTGACGTAAGATAATAGTGTAGAGTGGGGCAACATAGAATGTTCAAAGGTTTTCTGCTTGTAAAAAATTAACTAGATGAATTTAACTATAACTAGACTTTTCTAACTTAAAACATCTTTTAAATGAATATGCCAAATAAATTGGAAAAACTCAATGCATATATTCTTAAAATAATTATTGTGTATTAAAAATTTTGGCTGTGTTCTACAAAGCCTCACAGTGTGTGGTAGTACGAAATAGTGTGCAGATTATGGTAGGGGTTAGATGATTGTTGCTGTTTATAGTTATTCCAAGTGAAAACTTTATTATTAAAGGCACCAATCACAAACTTTTTTGGCCAAATGTTCTCATGCAAAAAATCCATGCACCTTTTTTGATCAATGCTGAATCAAAGTAATAGCCATTACACAATCCACAAAAGTTCAATGGATCCACAATTATTAACATTTTAAGTACTGATAATATATCAATACTTAAAATGTTAATAATTGTGGATTTGTGTAGAATTATGTAAATTTTCTCTAGTTACCCAATTTCCACTAGAGGATTCTAGTATCAAATTGATCATCATTTGTAAGTTTGACTTTTAGACTTGAAGATGTTTAGCATTCTTTCAATCTGTTTAATAAGCACCAGATCCTTACAAAAGAAGGTTGGCATCTATGTACAGGTTTATTACATCTGTCAATTCTTTTTTAATAAAGATTTTACTTTTTAAAGTTTTCCATACATTGACATTTCTACAGAGTGAGAAATATGTCATATTAGAGTAAGTGCAGTGTCATGTTCTCCACAGCAGGCTACATAAAATATCTTCATCTGCCTCTATTCAATAGACTGAATTAAGAAAACTTTATTTTACAACCATTCAATATATCATTACATAGTTACAATTTTAATAAACTATAGCAAACTAATCAACTATTATTATAAAAATCATACTACTATACAAAATTAAAATATATTAACTACAATGATGAAAACACAATTGTATTTCAAAATAATGTAATAATAAAATTTTAAAAAGTTTGCAAAGTACTATTAATTCAGATTTTTGTTTATGTAAAAACTAGTAGTTCGGGATGCCCCCTAGTGGACGTTCTTTACAAATTTCCATGAGGCATGGTTCCTTTGACTTTTTTGTTCCTATCAATATGCTCTACAGCTCTGTTAAAATCCAAATGGTAAGATTTACCGAAGAGGTGGCGACCCCCCCAAACCGTAGACCCCTGTACTAACAATAAAGTCAAAGGAACCATACCCCTACTCACGACCCTTTGAGAGATATAAGCCCCTGAAATAATAAATTCCTATTACAAATATACTGAATTATTTATATTGTTATATTGACCAAATAATAATTTATTGGCCAAATGAATAATAATAATTTATATTGTTAATTTAAATAAGAATTAAAATTGTTAATTTGAATGTTTGAAATATGACACACAATAGGGGCACCTCTAGTGTCTGTTATCACAGTTACGGGACAGACAGACGGATACCCATTGAATGGGTTATATATTATATAGATATCCATAATAAAATTTTTCCAAAATTTTGAAGAAAAACCTTATTGTTTGAAAAGTTGATATAGTTACTGTAATTTAAAATAATTTTACCTATTTAAATGTGCCATGAGGAACTTTAATGTTTGGTAATGGGCAGGTGGCAACAAACTTAATGCTTCTTTAAGACCTTCTAATTGTAGTTCTTGGGAAGAACGTTCTAGATTTTAAGTATTTATAAAAAATTAACATAATTCACTTAATTCTGTTAATGATTAACAGATAAAAATTTATAAATCTTTGAATCTTACTAATGGCATTGATGAAATAAGAGTAAGCTTCAAATGTGATTAAAGGAATGGGTAAAAGTCTAAAAAACAATTTTAATACTCCCGTGATGACATGTATATCTTCATAAACTAAAGGACTTATATCTGCATTTTCTCCATCTAAAAAGATATAAATAACATTCTTTTGTAGAACAAACAGTTTTTTATTAAATGAATAAAATAATCATCAATTAAATAAGTTTTAACAACAGAAATCTTTTAAATTATTCAAATTGTCTTCAAAAATAATAGGTCATCTTAAATCTTATACAGTATATATTACATTCCAAGACTATTATGTTTCTCTACCATGGAAGTATGAATCTTAAAGCATTTTAAATACTTTGTCATATAATGAAACATAAGAATATAATCTATAAATCTATATTATATGTCTATCAAGCTATTAATTTAAAAATTAATTAGAAATTCTATATTAGCTTGTCAACTGATAGCAAATATGTTAAAATATATCATTTGACATATAATTATGATTTATATATCAAATGATATAATTATATATACTTCTTTTGAAAATAATGTTTCAGTGATATGTTGAAATTTGCCATTTCAAGCAAGAAGTAGCCTAGCCATTTCTTGAAGTGCTAGAATATTCTGTAACAAATGTACAAAGGCTATTTTTTAAATAAGGTCAGTTTGTGAATGAGACTGACGCGCGATCACGGAAGTGTGCGTGTGTCTGCTCCGAGCAAGCTTGGCATGCATTTAGACACCATTTGTAGCTGTATTGTCTGTCTGTGTGCTGAGCTGTAGAAGTTTATAATGTTTAAAAAAATTAAGTCACCTGCTGACTGTGAGATACAATCTGTTATTTGATTCTTGAGTGCAAGAAACTTGGCAGCAGCAGAAATTCACATCAGATTTGTGAAGTTTATGGTGATAATGCTATGAGTGACAGTAAAGTTTGAAAGTGGGTGAGAATGTTCAAGGATGAGCGGGTTAATGTGCACGATGAGCCATGCCCTGGCTGACCTCCTCTGATTTCTGAAGATTTGGTTCATGATGTGAATAACAAAATTCGATACACGATTTCAATGTTATCAATTGAATTTCTACAGGTTTTAAGATAGTTTTGTATACCATTATTTCGGAGAAACTGAATTATCAAAAACTGTGTTCTTGGTGGGTTCCAAGACTGCTTTCTGACGATCACAAAACAAAAAGATTGGGTAGTACTTTATTGTTCTTGACTTGATATGATCAGGAAGGAGATGAATTGTTGGACCACATCATTACAGGAGATGAGACTTGGTTATCTCACATGACTCCTGAGTCCAAGCAACAGTCATATGGGAATGGCGACCCACAACCTTGCCAACCAAACTGAAAGCCAAACAGACAATCTCAGCACAAAAGATCATGGCAACTGTCAGGACAAGAAAGGTATTTTGTTAATGGATTTTATGCCGAGAGACACAACAATCAATTCTAATGTGTAATGTGTGTGACCTTGAAAAAACTCCAGTGTGCCATACAAAACAAGTGGTGTGGTCTACTGTCTTCTGGTATGATGTTGCTCCATGACAATGCAAGGCCACATGTTTCTGCATAAACATAAGGTCCAATCAGTTCTTTTGGATGGGAACAACTGGATCATCCGCCTTACAGTCCAGACCTTGCACCCAGTGATTTTCCCTTGTTTCAATACTTAAAGGAGTTCCTTGGTGGTCAACGGTTCAACGACGGTGAAGAAGTGAAAACTGCAGTCATGGATTGGGCTTTTTCACAGGTGATTTCTTTGAAGTCAGAATTCAAAATATTGTTAAGCGATATGACAAATCTTTGAATAAAAATGGAAATTATGTAGAAAAGTAGATAAAAGTATGTAGAATATGAGAAAAATTATACTTTAATGATATTTACAGTATTTTTCTTCTTATTAAAAAACAGACCTTATTTAAAAAATAGCCTTCGTATTTGTTTCAGAATCTGTCTACTTTTTCTGATCACTTGGGAATATTTCAGCATCTGCAGAACAAGTGTATATATTTCAGCATTTTTCTAACAAAACTAGACATTTATATAACATCAATTATTAGCACATGATACAAAACAGCTAACAGTTTGCATTTCTGTATGTTGTAACATACAGATTCCTGAGCATTGGAAACTGATCCTTGATGGCAACTTTTATATATTTTAAGATTTTCCCCATTTTTGGCTTTATACATTGTGAGTGCTAAGAAATCATTTTTCTATACCTATCATCAATTTTTCAGACCACAATGAGAAGTGCCAAACGAGGAGGGATAAGGCCCAACATATCTCGTCACAAAAAACTCCTAAGAGTTGCACATCTAGATTCAATTCAAAGTTTCCCAGAGTGGTAGGCTAATATCTTAATCATCTTGACCATCCAGCCATTGAACTTCCAATACTCAATCTCTGTAGGCTATTTACAATGAACTACATGTTGCCAACATCAGAAAAAAAGTATGCTGCATTGTTGTAAATTTTAACTTTTTATTGGTAACTTGGACAATTTATTTTATGTTTGCAAATAAAAATTACTATAAATAAAAACAGAATAAAACAATTAGCATATACAATTGCTGAGTAGTGTATTTATCAAATGGCATTTGTTTCCATTTTATGTTTAAAATATCCAATAATGTATCCAGAAAAAAATCTTGAGTAGACCTGTACTTTGAATCTTTTTCTCTGAATGAAAAATATATGTCTAGTTTCATTACACAGATACTGAATAGTTTCTGTTTATAGCAGATGTTGAAATATCTGTTTCAACATCTGCAAAAAACCAGGTTATTATTTCAAGTAACTAGGAAATTAGACAGATTCTGAAACAACTTCTAGCACTTCAGGAAATGATCAGGCACCTTTTGAAATGAAATTTTAGCATGTCTTGACATGTGCATGTTTTATCAGTATAACTGAGGAGTTGTATAGAATAAGGTATCTAAGTTAAATTTTGATGCTTTCAGGAATTCTCAAAAGACTGTTCTTTTTCTATGAGATTTATTATGAAGTAGTAAAATTTAAACGTTTAATACAGTGAAAACTGCTTAGGCGACCACCTGCATTCGAAGGGCACCTGTCGAAACGGGCAAAAATTTCTGGCATGGAATAGTTTATCCATAGAGTCTTCGTATAAGTTACCTGTATTAAATGACCACCTGTGTAACGCAACCGCGGGCATCGATTTTTGGTCCGAAACAACATACAACACCTGTAATAAGCGACCACTTTCGCGAATGTATCTGGTCTAAACTATTGTAAGAACCCATCTCAACAACGTTTCCACCTCCTAATATAATGAATTAGTCTAAACTCTCGTTCGAACCCATCCCGGGCACTTTTCCCACCCTCAAAATTAGGTGCAGGTGTTAATGAATTAGTCTAGCAACAAAGGAAATTCATTTCAGTTTGTTGGAAAATGTCTGAAATGCGAAGCGCTGTCGTTAGAAGATCGCAACAGCAATTAGCGGCGAAGTTTAACTGTGGGAAACAAAATTTATTTTACCCTAGACCTACAGTACTTTCCTTGGGGGTGTAAAATATTGTACATGATACAATTAATCGGCTGATCTCATCGTTTGATAAAATTTATTTTTATTTATTTTGAAGCTCATACAGTACACGATAAATAGTTTCTGTATCAACCTACCTTATTTCCACGATATTTTTAGAAAAATAATATCCAAGTAATTTTCGCAGGCAAAATATTCAAAAAACAATAAACGCATTAATGCAAAAATCAGTTTTACTTCCTTTTTCGATTCCGCGATTGTAATGAAATCGTATAATGAGAAAAAATTAATTAATAATTTTTCTTATTGTACTTAATTAATTAAGAAAATATTTAAAAAATACAGTATTTTTAAAGTTGAAATAAGATTAAACTAACGAAAACCAAAAGCAAAGTGATGGAGAGATAGGAAGCGCTTGTATATTGATGACATAATACACGTAACTGAGGAGCGAACGAAAAGAACCGAGTCGAATTAATTAAGTCGGAAAAAAAAAAGTGTGCGTCATAATCGAGAAAATGCAAGTATTGTATTAATCTTTAAAATATTGGTGTTAAATTTGCCTTATAATATCATGACGACTCCTGTAAATCAGGTTATCTGATAAGAATAAAATACAATACCAATATAGCCCTACGCTTATTTTTGCTCACCTCGAGTTTTGCTTAGTAGAAATGGCTAAAAAGTGCACAAAATACGTGCGGAAATACGGTATTACAGCACCACCTGTATTGGATGACCACCTGTCTAAAAGACCACTTTTTGAAGGAACCGTGGGTGGTCGCCATAGACAGGTTTTACTGTATATGAATAAAGTGCATATTAATAGGAAGGGAAATATCCGTATCAATAAAACCCTATGGTCAGGAACACACATGCATAAAATTGTGTGGCAGAAAACTAAATCAGAAATCAGCTTTCAGTTCAGTTTGTTTTACGCCAGAACACACATACGTAAAAATTCTGGCTGAATAGGAAATGCCACTGTCACTAACAGTGCTAACTTTATTAATTTTTTTCTCTCATATATCTATCCTTTTGTACCTTAAATTAATAGACTTGTATTTTGAGTTCAAATAAAAAACATGTGATCTAAATACTAGACCTATATATTGATTCTACTAGACCTACCTGTTATTTGAAATTTAGCACCTATAGCCATCCATAAACATTGTTTAAATACAGTGTCTTTATATACATGATACTGATGTGGTCAAACAGATTCAATAAACTCCTCTATTTCATTTATTTTTCGTTTTTTCGAGACTGTCACAATTGTATGGTTAACCTGCATTGCTGCCATTGTTGAAGTAAAAACCACATGTCTAATTTGGTGTCACAAAAAAGACTTCTCTTTATTGGAGGAATCTTGGCATAAAAATTTTATGGCATAAAAAGTAGAGACATGCTCTACTCTTTTTTCAGTTATGTTTCAGCCAAAATTTAAGAAAAAATTTTTACGCTTTCTGTTTAATGCTAGATTTTATGCCAAATTTTACGCATGTGTGTTCCTGGCCTATTTCATGTACCTGATAAAACACCACTGAAAAAGGTATCTAAATCCACTTAGGTACTTATTCCTTAAAACTCCTCAATTATGTTTTAGTACTTTTTAACAACAAAAATTTACAGATATCGAAAAAAAAAATATAATAAACAACATAAAGCACAGAATACTGAAAGGCAAAATTAGAGTAAAAACACACAAGAATGAGGAAGTTCACAGACCATTAGTAAATTTCAGGTATACAACATTATATAATTTACAGTATTTTTTAAAAAGTAAATTAAATAACTTTTCTACTTCTGTGAGTAGTAAAGAATATAGACAAAGTAATAAATTAAGCAGTTTTAAAAAACACAAAATCATAAATTAATGAGTCTAGATGTAAAAAATATGTATCCTTCTATTAATTCAAAAATGATAGAAGATACTTATCCTCAGCAAAAATTAGGTGTTGTGGTAAAATTGGTGTGATTTATTTGCTGAGAAAGTGGTGGATGGTAGAAGAATGGATAATGAAATTCATAAATTTCACTTATATTAATAATTATTTTGAGATTGATAACACCTTTTTTAGACAAAAATATGGAATAAGTATTGATTCAAAGATAGGACCAAAATTGGCAGAATTAGCAATGACAGAAGCAAATAATTTCATAATGAATATCAATGAAGTTAAATTGTGCTTTAGATATGTTAATGACTTCCTCATATCATCTGATAACCAAAAGACTACAGAAAACATTGTTAACCAAGCTAACCTTTGAAATACCAATATACAGTTTGAATATGAAAAGAGAAAAGTAGTAAGTTGAACTATTTAGATTTAACTATTATGATTTAACTTATGAATAGATAAAATTAATTGTTTTTTGTACATTACATAATTCTTATCTATGAGTGATAAAAAAAGAACACACACAAAATGGAATTACAAAAGATCTGTGACAATGCTGAAGAGCCCCCTCTAGGCTTCGGCACCACAGGACCAAAGGGTCGACATTGCGTCGGTGAAGACTACAATGCTTAATTTATCAGGACCGACACCACTGTGTCTTCTGGGTAGACACAGAGACCGTTATGTTCGCATTTACGTGAGAGCAGTTGCGTCTGTGGGTGGTTGGACTCGGGATGGAGACCGACCCAGGAAGTGCACCCAACACAATTCTAACAATAACAACATTCATTTATTAAACTAGTTCTACAAAAGAGTATTTACCTTAAAGCTTCTTTGCAAGAACTGAGTTGGAGAGAGAGAGCTTACATAACATCACAGGTCGTTATAAATACCTGAAGCACTATGTACGGATTTCCAGAAGACTGTGGAGTCATTGGGTAGTCTTGGGAATGTCTCTGTTGTCTTGGATGGTGGTTAAAGTCTATCGAAAGTTGAGATCCATTGGTTCTTCATAGGTGGTGTTCTCGGAGAAACACAGAATATTTGGGAGGAGCATGCGGCAACGAGCGATGATGATAAATCCTTTCGGCAGGTACACACGGAATATTCTCATGAGCTCTCGACCCCCCTCACTGCTCCTTGAGGTCGCCTCTTTATTTCCAAGTCACGTTGTCGTTTTCCACCAATAGTGAATTTTTAGTTGTAGTTCCCAGTGACACATTCTGAGTTTCCTGGGAAAGGAAACAACTCCGGGAAGAGAAATGCACTCATCCTCTGGTAATAAAATGGAAAAGTTTTTTTTCTCTGAGATTTAAATAAATTTCCTTTTCAGAACTAAAAATGAATTTTCTTTCGAAAAATTCCCAAATAAAATTGTGGGGTTTTCCCCTTTCCAAGTCCGACCTCTCACAGATCTATACAAGAACTACATATGAAAATAGGAATAAAGAAATCAATGAAGTGAGAAATAAATTTATATTAAATAACTACCCATATAATTTACTGAAAAAATGGGAGACAATATTTTAACTATTGATATGATGTTAAAAAACAAAAAGAAAAAGCAAATGTTAAAGAAAAACAAATAAATTTAGCACCAACCATAAAAAATACATTAAGTAAAATAATAAATATGAATAAAAAAGAAAAAATTGATATCTTACAGGAAACAAGAGTTATCTACAATTAAAATGTACAGTATAAGCCAAGAATCAAAAATATATACAGGAGAAACAGGAAGAAAACTGGAAAAAAGAATTAAAAAACATTTAACAGGAATTAGATTGAAATATATAAATTCACCGTGATTGAAACATGTAAATGAGAACTGTAATATAGATACCTCAGAAATTAAAATAGTTGATAGGGAAAAAAATATTTATAAAAAAAAAATTTTAAGAGCATTTAATAATCATTAATGCTAAAAATAAACTGAATGTAAATGATGGTATGCAAATTTTTACGATTGGTATAATGATATAAAAATGACCACCAGTATATGATTAAACTGTATCTCAGAACTCTTGTACACTAGAATATTATGTTATTATTGTGTTTTTCTATCACTAAAGAGAAACTGTTATATAATACAGTTCGAAATACATATGATGTGGTTACATCTCTTCAATAATAAAAAAAGGCTGTTTAAAAAAAATTAGTATTCTTTTCTGTGTTACATTTCGTATTGTATCTTTTTTATTTTCATTCATTTTGTTATTATTTTAAAATGAGTTGTTTTTGCATTTGTGAGATACTATGCTATTATTTATAAAATTTAATATTTGAATTAAATTAAAAAGGTAAAACTAATATTTTGGAAATCAACAGGAAAGTTCCAGAGATTTTATCTCTTGACAATACTTCCTTTTGAAATGATACATCTTCCTGGGATGACTACTAACAGAAGTCAAAAAGTGAAATCTGGGATTGGACAATATTTGGACTCTATCCAATTTTACCAAATTTGTGTATGTCTAGAATTTGAGAAAAAGGACAGAATAAAAAGGAAAGTTGATGCAAGGTCAGTGAAGTTCAACAGAGTTTGAAAGAAAGTTAAAGTCAATTTAGACCAGAAAGACCCAACTGCCTCAGTCACTTAGATCCCCAAGTGGAATTGTGTTAGTGCTTATCAAAGGTTTAACATCAAAGGATTTTTGTGTCACAAACTTTCATTCCTGCAGTCCAAGAAAGGAATGAAGAACCCTCATTGTTCAGAGGTAATTATTGACATGTGATCAATTTGTAAACTCTCTCTCATGTGGAATTATCATAGGTGCAATTAGGTTATGCCAGATAGTATAGAAATTCCTTCTAGATGTAGTTTCTGTTGTTTGTAATGTGTAGTAATATTTGCTCATGCTTAAAATAAATCTTTGTTGTTTTACTATTAACTTTGTAGTAGAGTGAATCACTTCTGGGTTTCACATATTCCATTCGCTTACCTCAAAGTTCCCTCATACGAAATCACTCATGTGCATTCAAACGGTTTGTTGTGTCTCTCAAAAATAGAGGTGGTGTCAAAGCATCCTGACCCAGGAGTGTTTTTTTTTATACCCGTCACACATTTTTATCCATTTGTTTCAACTTATTTTTGTACAAAAAACAAGTCTGTTAAAAAAATGAACAAATTCAAATTTAATTAATAATTAGAGATAATTTTATTTATTTCTAATTATTAATTAAATAAAAGGTAATTCAAATAATAAAACCATAAAGAATATTTTGTCTCAAATAAAAACAACTTAAATATGAAATACAGTTTGTCAAAAATAATAATAATAATAAATAAAATAAACTTTAAAAAAAAATAAAAGCAGTAGACATGGTTAATAAAATAATTGTTAGTTTGTTTATATGGAAATTTCCATATATGCTTATTTTAATCTCAGAAATACTCATGTTAGATAAGATTATGAATAATATATTTTTTTGTGATATAATATTTCAATTTAAAAATTTATCAAAAAATATTTAATGGTAACTTTAATGTATTATTATTATTAATTAAAATTTTAAAAATAACTACTTACCTTTTGATAAGCTAGTAAACTTTTAAAGCATATATTTTATATTTATTTAATTAAAAAGGTATAAATAAACATTATTGTTAATAAATTGTAATAACAACAACATTACAAAAAATCAAAATCTGATAACACTAACCATTATCAATTTTTCATAAAATACTTCTATTTGCTATCAAACTTTCAACAGATTTCTAACAGAAGTATTTGATAAAAGGTTGATGATAATTAAGTTAATATTACTTACTGTTTTCATTGTTATAAACAAAATTACTGTTTTTTGCAATTAGTTTAAAATTTGAGTATAATTGAAGCATTTATATTATATGCTTCCTAAGTTACCAACATAAAATATAATATATTGTAATTTCTGTTACTGATTTATTTGATTTTTACTTTTCTAATATCTTCCTTTCATTATGATAAATCCATACTGTTAATTATTAAATGAATATATTTAATATCAATTTGAATCCATTTACCATGGCATAGATAAAAGAACAATCATAGTGTTAAAAGGAATGTCAACTATTTTTCATAACTATTTTTTGAGTTATGAGTTAATATTTACTTAAAAGTTACATATTAAACTTGATAATATTACCAAATGCATATTTTAATGTACTTTATTTATATTTACTTTTATCAATATTATTGTCATAACTCAATATTGATAAATTTTATATTGTGTTTGTTATCTTGTGATATCAATACTGAGTTATTGTTATAACTCAATATTGATAAACACAAGATAACAAACACAATATACTGACTAAACAAAATTTTTATAAAAAATTTATTTATAAGCAATGACTAACCTTTATCAAAAGCTAATCGAACTGCTTCAATTTCATCACTGAATCCAGAAACTCTGTATAATCCTTCTACTTCTAAACCTAGTGTATATAATTTTAATAAAATAAAATTTGTTTCATCTATTATTAATAATAACAAATTATTATTTTAAAAAATACCTCTATTTTCTATTTCTTTGATGCACATATCAACTACAAGTGGTCTCAACGTATTGTGTGCTTTGACTAGTGTAGTTAAATCAACCCCAAACATTCTTTTAACATACTTCAAATCAGGCAAACATTCATTTGGAACTTTTTCTGAACAATGTTTATGGGCACTGAATCCACAATCTACAATAAAAATTTAATTGCTTCATTAACTATTTTGCAATTTGCTTCAAATATAAAATCAAATTATAAATCCAACCTTCACACTTAACACCTTGAGCAATGAGTCCCCACATAAAATTACCACAAAAATCACACCAAGGCAAACCCTTAAAATTATGAACCTGAAAATAAAACAAATTATTATTATTATTAAAAAATTAATGAATTAATTTTCCTTAAAACAATATTTATATTTCACCTTAAAAGAATGAGGCTTCTGAAACTGTTGAACATCAATATCATTTGCTAATGTATCTCGAGAAGGAGACACATTTATCTGTAAAAATACAAACTGCACATAATATTGTCACATCAGCTCTTATTAAGAGAATCGTAAATAAAAATTAATAATAAAAGTTTTTCTTTTAAATTCTTAAAGTTATCATTTTTCCAGTTTAAAACACTTAATTTATAATTTTTGACCAATATCTTTTAAAGCTTTAATAAGTTATCTTAAAGTAGATGTTCTAAAGATTGAATGTTCTTCCAAACATCAGATTTAAATTACATCTACGATTAATGTATTTTAAATCTGAAACAAAAAACATTCCAGTTGACTTATTTTAACATGTATATCTAATTTTTAGCGTAACTAGAAACTATAAATTCATAAAGAACAAATAACTAAATATCACATTGATAACACAATAAAAACATTTAGAAAATAGGCTAAATGTTTAAGTAAGAGAATCAAAGATAAAGATATTTTAAAAACATTAAATAAAAAAAATTATTATATATATATTACAACCTATTATTTAGTTTCAATGAAAAATAAATAATTATGTGCAAAAACTTTTATTATTAGCTTTTATCATTATCATACTAAATTTACCTCTGAAGTAGCTTTCTCACAACTATCAGATGAATCAATATGATTAGAATCCGATTTACCAAGACTGCGATCTTTATGACTATTAAGACTTTGACGATGTTTATTTTTTTTTAATCTTCTTCTCTTATATGAATTAAGAGTCATATAGGGGCTATCCTCATATCTGGATTCAACACACATCATTGCAATATATTCTCCAGCATGTGCTTCAAGATATAAAGTGATTAGACCATCTGCTACTAAATCTTGTATTGTATCAAATCTTTTCTCTCCAACGTAATGTTTACCATCATAATATAATCGAAAATTTTTGGTAATTCCTCCAAATCTAATTAAAACAAAACAAATAAATAAATATTTGAAAATTTTGGAAAATAAATATATATATAATCAAAATTTTACAAATAAAACTTCTTATAATTAATTACACTGGCCATCAAAAGTTAAGCACAATTCACAAAAATGACAATATTTTCAAAACCACTTAAAACAAATTTATAAAACTTTCATACATACTTCAGGTATACACTGTATACATTTGAGAAAAAATAAAAAATGAATGCAAATAACAATAAATGTGAATACAAAAAAAAAGAGGTATGAATATAAATGTTGAGCTCAATATGGAATGTGACCTCATCTAGCATTAATGCAAGGTTGCTTTATCTTGCACTTTAGTAATGTGTTACAACAGTGCCTAAAATGAGACACTAATGGTCTACCAAAGAATCCTTAGGAGATGCATTCATCAAAAAATACCTGTCTAGAAACTGAACATCATTTTATGAAGAATGTACTTTGCAAACCCAGTGATGCATCCAAAACATACTACATTGATGATGCACTGAACTTCCTATAATTAATGCATAAGTGAGGACCAGATGAAGATCTAGGTAGTGTAACTGGCAACATGACTGCATAATAAGCAGGAGTTGTGGGTTCAAGTCCTGCTTTGGCTGATTCTTTTCTTCCAGAACATTCTACATTAATTATTAAAATATTAATTTAATTATTAAATTTAGCAAGAGATGGCACCTAACACCTACATCAAGTGCCAAATTACTTAGCATTTAATTAATAATAATAACTAAAATGTCTTAGGATTTGTAGGCTTTAAGATTTTTAAAAACAATGAATTAAGAATTGTTCTGATTATTATTTCATGATAACAGTACAGAGATTTGCGTCATAGAATCATTCGTCTTACTTTTTTTTAGTCCGAGCATGAACTCTGAGAGTTTTCTCAATTTAAAGTAATATAGCGTAAAATGAAGGTGCCATTAGGGTAAGTTCCACCAGAAGCAAGCAGAAGCACTGATGCAGAGTAAAAAGTAAGGATGCACGATAAGCAAAATGGCCTATTACCGATTAATCGGCCATGCATTATCGGCCGATTAATCGGTATCATTAATAATTTATTGCATTAATAGTGTGAGATCCTGGAGTTAATTATAATGTGGAAAAAACCCATTTTTCTCCACCTGGTATTTCCATCTCCCTTGGGTCAGGTAAACAATAGACGATCGAATATCCTCGCAAAATCAACAATCTCTTCCTTTGTTTCTAAAATAAATCTCAACACTTAATTGTTGACGCATGGAAACTTCGACATTGTTTAAAAAGCTGAAGTGTTTCTGTGTTTAACAGAAACAAAATATATTTCTTTAACCGCTGATATTTGGACAGCAACTACAAACAATTCTCCTTTTTTAAGTGTAACAGCTCACTGGTTGAAGGATGATTTTCAGCAGGAAAGAGCTGTTTTGCAAATTGTTTCCTTTGAAGGTTCCCACACAGCTACACGAATCAGTGAACAGTTAAAAATTGTTCTTGAACAGTATAAGTTGACAAGTGATAAGATATTCTTAGTACTAAGAGATTCTGCAGCAAATCTGGTAGCTGGAATTAGGAATTGCAACTTAGAAGCATTATCATGCTTTATACATACGCTGCAGCTGACACTAAACGAATGCATATTTTCTAAACAAGATGTGAAAACTATAATCACAGTTAATAGAAATATTGTCACACATTTTAATCATTCTGCTGTAGCTGTAATCAAATTGGAAGATTTGCAAGAAAAGTTAGGTTTGCAGAAACACAAATTAATTCAAGATGTTCCTACTCGCTGGAATTCTACATACTACATGTTGGAACAGCAAAAGGCCCTTGTCACATATGCTATAGATAATAAAATTCCTACGTTGAGCCCATATCAGTGGTCTCTCGTTGAAAAAATTGTTCTACTTGTAAAACCATTCAAAGAAATTACTGTGGAAAGCCAGCAAACGAGAAGCCACTTCATCTTCAATAATTCCCACAATAGAGACTCTGAAATTATTCTTATCAAAAGCAAAGATCAGTAGTTCCTTTAGTGGCATTAATACCACAACAGACGAACTAGAAAATCCAATAAAAAAAAAAGATTTTCAGCATATATAGAAAACAAGTCTTTATGCTTGTCATTTTTATTAGATTCAAAATGAAATTTCAAAAAGAGAATATGCTAGAGGAAATCCCAATAAGAATTAAATTCTGAAGCTTCTACTTCTGGAGGTGATCAAGATGGAGGTGCATTTCTAAGTTTTTCTGATTTATTTGATGAATTAGCTTCTGGTAAACGAAAGAATGAAGAATAGCATGTTTTTTAAAAAGAAAGAAAAAAACGAAGGAGACGAACAAACGTTTCGATCAAGAATTAGAAACATATTTACATTTGTCCCTAATGTGATGAAAATAGTTATGAAATATTTAAGTACCTCAGCATCTTCCATTGAAAGTGAAAAAAATTTCAGCACTGGAGGTAACATTTATGAGCTGGCAAAAAATAGGTTATGCCCTGAAAACACTTAAATTACAATTTAAGGGTTTTACAATGTAAATGTACATCCTTGAATTATAATTTAAGGGTTTTACAGTTTAAATATTAAATTTTTATTTGTTTTATATGTTTAAATTTTAAACTTATGAAACAAATAAAAATTTAATTTTTCTTCTTAACCTATTCAATACTTTTTTTTATGTAAAGTTTAAACTTTATATTATACGTTATACTATACTTATAATATGTATCGATAAAAAGGAATAATTTGATTAGTATAATTTTTTTAGTATTCAGATTGTCATGTAATAAATAATAAATATATAACAGAAATTTATTAGTTTTTATCACTAGCATTGTACTGTATGTAACATTCTAACAAAAATACCAAAATGTAAAATTGGCCGATTATCGAAACCGATTAATCGGGGGAATTGGCCGATACGGCCGATTACCAATTACTTACCGATTAATCGGTGCATCCTTAGTAAAAAGATTTAAACAAAAGTTATTTTTTCCTGAAAGTTTGAGCCAAAAACATGGGTGCACATTATACACAGCAAAATATGGTATTTGATAAAAACTGCCATGATAAATAAGTATTAGTTACAAAATTGAAGAAATATTTTTAAAAATAGACAATACAAAAAGTGTCTTCTAACTTTGTTGACTCCAGCATTCCATGGTGGAGTTGACCTTTCATTTGTGACTATTTGTCCACTTCAATATGCAAAACATTAAAAACATCCCTACGGTATAGTTATGTCAATGATTTAAATAAAAACTATAGTGCAAAAAAAACATATGAAAGAAAAATTATTTTATGCACAATTAAACTACCAAAAGTGGACAGAAATTTAATGTAAATATTTCAATATTTTTCTAAAAACAATCACTCCACACTTTTAAAATAGTGATAAATACTAAAAACAAATTTAAAGTTTGAAGACATAACACAAATAGTTTAAGTATTTGTTATGTCAATTTCATCTAGATTATCAGTACAGACTAGCTTGAGCATTAATATGGCAGATACATTAGGAACATTGATGCCCTGACTTTATTTATGTTTATAGATTTTGGAATTGCCAATTGAAAAATTAATTTAACAAAAGTCCTTATTCAGATTTTGATAACAGAAGTATTTAACAATATATTGACATCTAAAAAAAAAAAAATATGCTTTTTACACTTTATTCTAAGCAAAATTTCATTTTATGATGCATTTTGAAAAGTAAAAGAAAAAACATGCTTATGACTGCAATATTTTGTTTCAAGTTCTTGAAGACAATGATTATTTTTTATACAATTCATTGATACAACTCAAATAAAAATAAAAAAGAATACAAAGATCTGTGTTATAGTAATTTAATCATTACAAAATTACATTTTAAAGTAGGAGTTGGTATTCTAGAAATTTAATAAGTAAAATAAATATCATCACTCTGAAATTAGCTATTAAATATCATCATAGTCTTTATTTCGAAGTTATATATAGATGTAATCATCAGCTTAAAATTATCTATCACATACTATAAATAATCACTACACTATGATTGAAGGTATATTTATTTAAGTTCACAGTATATAGTTGTTGACATACATTCAATTTTTTTTATATATAAGTTATAAAAAACTGTTATTGCTAATATTTATTTTTATGAAATATTTTATTAAAATAAAACAAAACAATACATTTTTACATAATTAATAACTTAAATAATAGTATGATAGTGATACGATAAAATACATAAATAAATTAGATTTAAATATTTATATTAAAAATAAATATAAAATTCACAAAAAAAAGCATCATAATGATTTTAAAAATGAACAAAAAAGCATCCATGACAACATTATTATTTATAATTAAATAAAACTCTATTACAATTAATGTAATTGTTATCTATTGATAAATTTTAAAAAATACATTGAAGCAAACCACATTATTCATAATAAATTACTTATCTTCAGCAAATAATATTTAAAAAAACAATGGTAACATATTTAAATTACAGTGATTTTATTGAATAATAAAATATCAGCATTTCTTTGCCTAATAAATTTAGCTATTATTCATATTAACTGACTTAAGAAAAACTATCAAAGTTAAATTACATCATTTTCTTACACTAAGCTGTTATATTTATTATAATAATAAATACAAAATATGAAAAATTTAATATTAGACAAACTATTTTTTTTAATTTAATTTTTTTTATATTTTGAATGTTTTGTGAATTAATACACAAAATAGCTATAAGATAAATTTCAAAATAATTCTTAAAAAAATAACTTTACCTCATGCTAAGTGTATATTGGCCATTTGCCCTCTGACTTTCTCTGACAAGATAACATCCATCTCCTTCTTGGAGTAGTCTGTCAGCTTCTTCACGAGATATTTTTCCATGAAACCTAAAATTAGTAATTAATGAATGTAGTATCAAAACAGCTTTTATTAAGGTATCTGAAGGTCAACTTACTCTCTACCATAGTGAGAAGGTCTGCTTCGTATCTAAACAAAATAAAAAGCAAAAAATTACATAAAATTAAATAAAATGACAAAATCTTATTCAACTTATCTTCTGCTTTCAAAGTGATTGTGTACAATACTACATGTGAAATGAGGAAACCATTTAGCAGAAACATATACTCTTCCTTTGTCTGCAACTATTTTAACAAGGTATAATGAGTGAGCAATTGACTGCTACAATAAGTGAGATTGGTTGTCAAATTCAAGAAAGTATAGTTGATTAATCAAAAGAAATAAGTTCATAATATAGATAACTGCATTTAAACAAAAAAAAAATCCATTTTTAAAAAACTTTAAAACTAGAATTGTCTTAGCCAAGATTTGAATTATATGATTACTTTTGGGAAACATAAAATAAAAATTATTTCAAAATTAATAAATTCATTCTCTTCATTTATTAATTTTTTGAGTTTTTTCTTCACAATTGTATTTTTGTTCAGTTTTAATATTTCTTATTTTATTATAGATTTTGTTAATAAATTTATTTTAAAATAAATATTAAAATAATTAACTTAAACTTCTTAAAACCATGACAAAACCATAATGTTAACTTTAAAAAAAGTCACTTACTTCATAATTACAAACAATACGTTTAGGTATCGGTGCAGCCTGTTGAAGTTGATATACTAAAATAAAACAATTTATATAAAGTACAAAAAAATAATTACTGCTATCTATCTAATCATTAAAAGAATATATTAATATAACTATTTAAATTACTAAATTCTGAATAAAAATTATTAAAAATAATAAAATTTAAATATGACAAATTATCAAAGATTGGTATGTTTTAACTTAAAAGTTTATAATTAGGAAATTCCTATTAATATGCTTATTATTTATTTAATGTGTTTACTTTAACAAACTACTTTCAGGGTCAGAACAACATTAATTTTTATAGTTGGTATAGTTTAATTATGATTGATTTAAAATATTAACCATAATCTATTTTTTTTAACATAAAGAGTAATAAAATTTCAAATAAGAATATACTCAATACATTCTATTCTATATATTCAATACTATTCAATTTGGTTAAATTGAAAATAAATGTTAATGGCATTAATTAATAATGTGTTTCTTTAACAACTAAATTAGAAAAAACTTTTATAGAAAACTAAATTTTTTTTATATGAAAGAGAGAGAAGGAAAATCCTACAAAAGTAATAACCTTAAAAAGTTAAGTCAACATTTTTAATTTTCAACGTTAAACCAGCTAACTTTTTTAAAAATCTTAATAAGAAAGTACTACATGAAATGTATTAAAATAAAAAACAAAAGTTACATAGTAAAATATACAAAAAAATAAGATAATTAATTAAATAAATTGTATTTGTTTGAGATTTATTTCTTGAATCTGCTTCAATTTGATGTTCAAATTTAAAAAAAAGAAAGACATTATTTTTCATTATTTTTTTAAAATTAATGTTTAGAAAAATCTTTTCTTCTGTATCAATTTTAACTTGAAAAAAACTTACAATAAGACTTCCAAAGAAAGGGAATCTTGCTTGTAGGTCTACTCCTCCAATTATCTTCTGAAATTAAAAAATTTTCATCAAAAACTTTAATACAAATATATTCACTAATCATCATATTTTATTAACAAAATTTATTCTTAATATTGATATAAACAACAATAACATCCTAATAGCTTCTATATTATTTAAATTATAATACTGTATATATATTAGTAAAATGAATGATTATAATAGACATATAACAACATTAGGGCATAATTCTGCTCATCTTCATCAATCTAACCTTATCATTTCAAGTTGCTTAGCAATGCTCTCCACACTTGTGTTCCAATTTGTAATAATTGTTTATATAAAAAATATTAGTTTTATATACCAGTATATTGACTAAATAATTATAGTCAAACCTCAGATTTTGAATGCCCCACTTTTTGAACAATTCAGTTCATGACCAAAGACTAGACACAGATGGACAACTCCTTATACTTCATGTGTTAAAGAAAGTTGACGTTCCGACCAATCAACAACAGGACTACTATTCATAAGTTAGTGGCATTGAGATTGATGATTTGTGTCACCAAGATGTCACAACACAAATCATCGATGGCATTGTTATTTAAATTAGATTTCAATGTGCATACAGGAAAGATACTATTTCCATTTTTCAGTATGCACCACAGTTGAATCTAAATGAAATTAATAAAAACTATATTAATTGACATTCACGTAATGTAAATGTCATCCAAGAATTCATGTTAAAATATGTTCAAGTTAAATTAAATAATATTATATATTATATTAATAAATTTTTGTTAATATTTATTAACACATTAAGTACCATGTGTTATAAATATGCAACTTATGCTATATATTAAAATCTGTGCTGCATCACACTTTGGAGCAACATGCTAGTCATATAAATATAATGGAAATAGTAGAGTATTGCCTATGGGAATGAAAATTGCACTTGGCCAAGAAAAATTTTTTATGATACAATGCTAATAGAAATTTAACTTTTTCCTCTATAAAATATGAAAAATATGCAAAATTTGTTCTTTTCAGATTTTTTTTTTGCACAATAAAAGTGAATAAGTACAATATCACAAAAATATAAAGCACAAAACAAATATTCAAGAAACAATCTTTATATTCTTTTAGTGAACAAAAACAATAAGTATATTATTTTAGTGATTATTCTATTTTTCTTAGATTCGTATTGGTCAATTTATGCAACCTAGAATTTATGCATGTATGTGGTAATTCTGTTAAATTTAGAACCCAATAAGCATAAAAGATGGCATAACATGATCAGAAAAAAATCATTCATGCAACATGTTGCAATTCCATAACACACCTAAAAAAATCAAAAGAAAATAAAAAATAAATAATAATAATAATAATAATAATTAAAACTCTAGCCTTTAAACCAAAACTAAAATTAAAAATAAAATCAAAATTAATTAAATTTTTAAAATTAAAATCAAATCAATTAAAACATAATATTTTGGAAAGTGTGGATAAAGTACTTGTCTGTCTTGAATGATTTGATTATATTTCATCCAGACAGTCAGAGTTGAGTTTCTATTTATAGCATTTCTTTGCAAAGTGTTAGTTTTGGTTTCAGCTGGCAGTGAGAAAATGGCATGCTTTGTATCATAGGTTTCATGAGTTGCGCTTTGGTCACTTCTGGTGCAGCGAGACAATTCAGCAACACTGTAGTGTGAACTAGTGTAGTTTTTTTTTTAAACTCTTTCCATCCTGTGGGCAGTAAGAGGGCCTCTTTTTGCAAGCTTATTATGGGTTCGGCCAGGTCCACAATGGGGCTGCCGGGTGGTGAGGAAGGGGGCCCAACATACCCGAATGGACCACCCCCCAAAAAATTCCTGGGGATTTTTCGACCCTTCAGATTCAAACCCGGGTCCCCCAGAGTGGTAGGCTGCCACCTTGACCGCTTGGCCATCTGGCCGCCAAACTAGTGTAGTTTTGTTGCTATTCAGTGTATTCCGTTGTCTCTGTTCCATTGTAACACAAGAGTGAACTGTGGTAGTACATCGTTATTGTTTTTGCAAATTTGTATATATCTTTATTCTATATTTTTTGGGTCACGAAAAAAATTCATAATTATAAATGGGGTCATGAATAAAAAAGTTTAAGAAGCCCTGCCCTGGTATAGAATGCCATTTTTATAATCAAAATCAAATCCAATAATTAAAAATAACTGGCAACTGTATTTCATTAATAAATTTTAAAATGTTCATAAAAAGCATTTCCATTAAATTTACAAAGTACAGTGTAGCAATAAATATAGTTAATATTAGACTTACAAAGTCAATACTGAACATTAGAACTTTATTAACAACATGAAGAGAAACAAAACTACTTTGTCAATTCCATTTTTAACTATGCAATTGAAAAAAATAAAAACATTTCAAGTGAATGTTCTATTGGAAAAGCAAACAGGTTAATGAAAATTTGAAAAGGGGTTAATCAGCAAATTACATACATATTGTATGTGCACATAGTGTAATATTGTTTAATTATTTAGTAAATACAATCATTTGAAAATTCTTCAAAATATTGTCAATCATTTTCAAATATAAATAAAATAAACCTTTAACTATCCAGCAATAAAAATGTTTAATAAAAACGTTTTCAACCGTTTTTAAACAGCCATCTTCAGTTGAACCAATATTAAAAAAGAACACTAAAAAAGAATGCATGAAATACAAATTAAATGCGTTCTTTTTTAGTGTTCTTTTTTAATATTGGTTCAACTGAAGATGGCCGTTTAAAAACGGTTGAAAACGTTTTTATTAAATATTTTTATTGCTGGATAGTTAAAGGTTTATTTTATTTATATTTGAAAATGATTGACAATATTTTGAAGAATTTTCAAATGATTGTATTTACTAAATAATTAAANTCCTCTATGAAGGTTTTAACTGGCCTTGCCCACTTAATGTTTTCATCGAAAACAAGGTCATCTACAGTAGACTCAATGACTTCTTATCAGCCACTGAAGCTCTCAACCCACCAAGGAATCTACCTAACACCAAAGACAAGCATGCAACTACGTGAATGAACTTTTCTTCCCAGTGTGCTTGCCTCGAACTGTGCGTGTTTTCTTACCCTAAATGGGTATCCTTCAGCCCTGGACAGCTTTTAGCATTAGCAACTGGCTCCATTCTGTCATCTGTCTTGTAAATATTTTGTGTAACTCCTGAATAATAATCTGTTTTGTACTTTTTACTACGTACACGTGGTCAGCATTCATCACCTGTTATGTTCATTGTCAATTATATAATATTGTCGGGTTCTTTAAATCTTAGTTGTACTTCCTTTATTGTCTGTTATAAGTTGTCGCGCCAACTACTTGTATATATTTTCTAGTATTTCCCTGTTAATGTATTCATTTGTTATATCACTGTATTTTGCTTATTGGTTTAATAAATGCAAGCGCTATGTGTTCTCAACTTTACCTGTCCCAACCTCATCCCCTATTCTTCATAACCCTCACTCTTCCTTCCGAACTTTCCAACCTCCAGGTCGTACCTTTGAGTGATACCTGGAGGACCTCCCCTCCTTCAATTAATAATAATAATAATAATATGCTTTGTGAAGTGTGGGTCCATAACAACTGTTCAGTGTTATTTTTGTCGACAATATGGTGTTGAACCACCTACTGCCCAGAGCATTGGGCGATGGTATGAACAATTCCAAGACACGGATTTTCTGTGTAAACGGAAATCCACTGGTCTTCCCTGTGTGTCAGATGAAGACGTGGAGCGCATCCAGCTGAGTTTCACGTGTAGCCAACAAAAATCCATTTGCCATGCCAGTTGAGAACTAAACATTTCCACATCATCTGTCTGGTGTATTTTGAGGTATTGTTTGATTATGAAACTGCACAGGATTCAATTAATGCAACAGGATTCAATTAAGCTCTTCAAACAGATGACAAACACAGCTGTGTCAACTTTTATGAATTCATCCTCAACAAGGAGGCAGATGATGACAATTTTGTAGGACACTTAATGTTTACTGATGAGGCTGCTTTTCATTTAAGTGGGAAGGTAAACCACCATAATGTTAGAATATGGGTACAGAGCATCAAATTGTACAGCATGAGAGAGACTCGCCCAAATTTAATGTTTTTTGTGAAATTTCTCAGGAAAGGTGTATGACCATACACCTTTTTCTTTTTAGAGAACACTGTTATGGGAATAACATGTGCTTGAAAACTGGCTTTTTCCAGAGTTAAAGACCAGTTTGAATGACTTCATTTTCCAGCAGAATGGGGCACCATCACACTGGAACCTGGAAGTTTGAGAATTTTTGAATACAGAGATTCCCCAATGATGGATCAGCCATATGAGACCTAATGATTCAGCTTTACATAACTGGCCTCCTAGGTCACTGAACTTCACTGTTCACAATTTTTTCTTGTCGGGGTTCATAAAAGACTCCATTTATGTGCCTCCTCTTCCAGCTACAATAGTTGAACTGTGAAACTGCATAACAGCAGTGGTGGCAGCAGTGGATCCAGACATGCTCATAAAAGTTTGGGAAAAATTTCAGTACTATTTGGACATATGTCATGCATCCAAAGGGGGTGGCATATTGAGCACGTATGATTTAGCATGTAAAAAAAACTTGAAGATTAGCTCGGTAATATAAAATTGATTTTAAGTGTGTATCTTCATTACTTTTCATAATATAATCATTTTAAATCTGATGATTCTTTTTGAAACATCCTATGCTATATAACAAATTATTCTTCTCTGATGATGAATTAAATGATAGCCTACATACAAATTGAATTTGCTAATATACTGGATGATTGTAATTAAAGTATCCTTATTATTCAATGCTGTCTAGAGAGATGCATTGGACTGCTAAATACTGTAACCAATTTAATGCAGCATTTTGAGGCATGCGAAAAACATTTTTGTAAAAAAATTAATACCAAATGATGATACCACCATGTACTTTTGGCACTACCAGAACATAAAAGCAATTTCCATTGCATAAACACACACAATTAAGTTCTAGGTATAGAAGAAGTGACCATGACTGTTGAATATGGTTCTTTTTGGAAACAGTGGCCTTCACCTTGCTCAAATGCGTATCTTTTCTGAAGCAGCTTTATGAAAACAATAGCAGTGCTGCAACTGCACTTTGTTAATTTCACTGTCATAACTTTTGCTAAGGACAGTTGACACAGGAGAATGATTACTTGATTCAAGAAAATTGGATATCTGGGAGTTTGACCCAACTGAAGGTGAAACCTATCAATTTAAAAGGCCTTGTTAAATTTTATCACAGCATTATTGAACAGTCAATCAATAATGTTGCAGATTCCAATAGTGCATGTGCAGTGTCATGGCAATTACATATATCTTATGACATAATATGAAAGGTACTGAGAAAGTGCTGCATTGTTATCCATATAAGATTAACTAAAACCAACAATTGTTTGCTGTCAACAGAGAAACTCACCTTAGACTTACTTTTGCAATGACCTTTCTTACCAGAATAGAATTAGATGTGTTGTGGCATGAAAAATCACATAGAGTGACAAGGCACAATTTAACCTTAGTGAAACCAAGAACACCCATAACAGTCACATTTGGGCTATGAAAAATCCTTGTTTTCCAGCTGATTCCACTATTCTCATCTGAAGGTATAGTCTAATGTGAATTCACAACTACGTTTATCCTTGGACTATTCATGAAAGAAGCTAGTTCCAATGGGCCAGTGACATACTCTGACAGTCAAGATATCCTGAGAGATATTTAATGCTTTGTCAATGTTGAAGTTGGGGTATGACAAATGTTCAAGACACTTGTCATACCCCAACCACTTTTGTGTAAGATGGAACATCTTCATATATCTAATGCTATGTATAGGAATTTCTGTGACATTTCACCAATAATAGTGATTAGTCACTTTGCTAATATGGTCACTTTGATTACCAGCTGGTCACTTTGCTCTCTAGATCTGGTTATGGAGACACTTAAATAGTCTGGTTTATCAAGGACATGGCGTAAATTCGATAGCCTCAAAAGACAGTATCACAATGAAAAGCATCACAGAGAATCAATTACGAGTAAGTATAAAATGCTTTGTTCATCACCTTCACATTTGACATCATCATTAGGGTAGTGCTTAAAATAGGGAAAAATAAATAAATCACTTTTTTGTGGTCCTACCCTCCAAGAACTATTCCAACTGGTCTGAAATTACTACAGAAGAAATTTGAACTTGATATATACATTTGAACTTAATATTTACAGGTAGCTTAATTAATGACCACAAAGTTTATAAAAAGAGCGATTTATGACAAATGAAAACATACAAGACCTGTTTTGGTAAACCAGACTTGTTTCACTTTTGGACAATTACAGACAAATTAAATAGTCATGTAGAGTCTACAATATTCAAAAACTTGATGGATTACAAACCAAAATGCAACAAAAATATTTTTAAACATCACAATTCATAAAATTTGAAATTTTCAGTACTATGTTCAATGTAACTTTATCAGTTTATTTTGGTAGAGGCAGAGTGTGTCTCTTTCTTGCTGTCTGGATAATCTGCCTCCAGCTGTTCTCTCACTAGTTACCCAGTCTCCTTTACAGCTTGCATCTTCTTCAGTATCTGTGCTGCTGCTGCCGCTTGAGGATATTAGGTCTGTTATTTCTTCACCACTTCTCTTCAAGTCTTCTATGTTTTCTGTTAAGCATCTGTTCTTGTCTTTGTGCTGATCATTTCTCCTTTGCAGCTAATTTTGCATCCACACCTGCCATTGACCCTTTACATCCTTTCTCATGTTGAGCTAACAAGAACTCATGATCCTCTGGAATTTTTATCATTTCAACTGCTCTAAGATGAGATATGTCAAAAAGTTCTAGTTTACTAACAAATTCAGCCTCATTTGTATGCTGTGTTACAGATTGTCGCCCCTTGTTTTTCTTTAGCAAATGCCATTCTTCAAATGTTCGTTCTAGTTTAGTTATGCAGTTTCTTGGATCATCATTGGGATCCTTGCCATTTCATGTAAAAACAAACCAAGAGCCTGACATAAGGATGGCAACTTGTTGCCAGTTAATTCAGTTACCGTTGAACCAAAGAGGTACACTTCAGTTTTAGATCTAGTTGCTGTTGCCACCATATTTAATAACTTTGCCAAAATGAACAAAAATGTATCATGTGATTTGCTTCAGCAGTTTCTGGATTATATAGTCCAGGGATGGTGAACCTATGGCACTAAAGAAAATTTTGATGGCACACACAAAAAATATGATTTTTTTTATTAATCATAATGAAATTTTATTTTATAAATTATAAAAATGAATTAGAATTCAACAATCCATANCATGATTATTATTACAAGGAATTCCTTAATTATTGTTTTTACAAAAAATTATTTTTGGAAGAAATAAAATTTCTCAATTTGAGAATATTTTAAACATATTTTGTGGCAAATTTATTCTGCCAATCTGGAAATCACTATCCAAACTAAAATGATATTTAATGATGGGATAAATATTAACAATAAGAAATACGGCAGTTATTTTGAAAGAAAAATTAGCAGATATCTGTACATTTTGTTCAAAAGATTGTGAATCTAAAAAACAATATAAGACATTCCATAAAGACACATTAATAATATTGATTGACTATGCTTATTTTGAAATCAAATTTTAAATAAAAAAACTTTGTTATTGCAGACTGTTTTTTTTTTTAATTTAGTAGTAAATGGGTGGTTAATACTGAAGAGAAGGATTAATAAGCAGGTATTGTTTTTATTCATGTTATTAAGAAAATGATCTGATGATAATTATTGATTCAGTTTAACCTTTCAACAGTGGACTAGTCAGGTATGGTTCTATCTCAAAGTAGTGGAGAATAAACGTGGAAAATGTTTAAAGTATTTTTCTTCACATTTTTTCTCATTACCTTTTTGGGAAAAGATTTTGTAAACAGTTATGTCTAGTAAGGAAAAGTCTTTTTTTATTGTTACATAATTCATTTTTTAGGTAAATTTTTTTCTCAGTAGTTTTTGGCGATATCCCCAAAAGAATTTAACACATATATCCATCCCTCACCACTGCCACACAATCGCCCTGGACGGATATATCCATTCTTCACTATTAAGTGGTTAACCTTTGTGATATAACTAATAAATTTAAATCAATGTAATGTTTTTATTACATTTCAATATAGCAATATGTTTACTTTCAAAGTATGTATTTTTAACTTTAGGAGGCATGTATGTTCCTTAAGGTTTAATACAGTAGAGCAGGGATGACAAACCTATGGCATGCATGCCATAGATGGCACAAAAGAAAATTTTGATGGCACACACAAAAAAATATGATTTTTTAATTAATCATATCAAAATTTTATTTTACAAATTATAAAAATGAATCAGAATTCAACAATTCATATTTTAAAAATAATTTATGATTTAAATTTATAGTACTGAATATCTACCAACTATAAAATATCATTTTGTGGTATGATTGATGCTGTGGTCATGTGCATTAATTTGCTTCATCATGAAAACAGATTGCATTGCCAATGAGCCATTATTCTTTGTAATTCCAAGTGTTTGTATGTCTCATTTTAAAACTTTAATCATTGACACATTAAATATAACTATTTACAAACACTACGGTTTTAGTTTAAGGGAATTATTGCATTTATGATTTAAAATTATAGTACTGAATATCTACCAACTATAAAATATCATTTTGTGGTATGATCAATGCTCATCTGTGGTCATGTGCATTAATTTGCTCCGTAATGAAAACAGACTGCATTGCCAATGAGCCATTATTCTTTGTAATTCCAAGTGTTTGTGTGTGTCATTTTAAAACTTTAATCATTGAGACATTAAATATAACTATTTACAAACACTACGGTTTATTTTAAGGTAATTATTGCATTTATAAATACATATATTTTAAATTTAAACATAATTTTTTAAGTTATTTTTTTTAATAATTTCTTATTATGGTTAGTTCAATGAAAAAATCAAAATTATCAGAAACAGCTAGTAGCAGAGAATTTCAAACTTGGTGGATTGATAGGTACGGCATGATTAATAAGGACATTAAAGCTATTTGCATTTTATGTTCAGGAATGGTGGTTTGTAGATCATCATCAGTAAAGCAACATTATGAAACCAACTACAAATCTCTTCTCAATCGAAGTGAAGAAGATCAAAAGGAGTATATATCACGTGTTTTCAAAAATAAAAATGCCCAAGCTACGTCCTTAATGAAATATATTGGAACTCAATCAAACACTACTGCTGCTAGTTATCAAGCTTCAAAAGCTATTGCTCAATATAGGAAAACTTTTAATGAAGGTGATTTTTTAAAGGAGGCTTGGTTGCAATGTGCACCCTATTTATTTGAAGATTTCGAAAATAAAGAAAAAAATTATCCTAAGAATTAAAGATGTACCATTAGCTAGGAATACAGTGAAAGAGAGAATTTTCAGAATGGCAGAAAATGTAAGCTTTCAACAACAAATAGATAAAAAAATCTTGCAATTTTATTTCCATTTGCCTTGATGAGTCCATCAACGTACAGTCGACCCCCTATAACGTGGTAGATACGTTCCACTTTTTATGAAATTCATGTTTTATGAGTCCTTAAATACATGAGCCAATCATACACCGGCATGTATGCAGTTTACGGACTATGGCTGTTTGAAAAGTTTTCTTCCATAAAATTAATCGATTCTAGACTAATTTGACTCAACATTTCCAAAACACACATTATTTTTTGGAAATAATCCATATAAACTATGCTATAAACAAAAAATTGTAGGATTACTTACCGAGTGTGCACCGTTCGACAACGCCATTGCTTAAGCTTGTTATCGTCGTGGAGCGGCGCATCGAATGGCGGGCGCGTGTTTCCTGATAAATTATTTTTCTGCAAAAAATTTGCTGAACTTTGGAGACATCATTAATATAAATATAATTTTTATGCACGTTAAATAATAAATGGTTTTTAGTAGGTCTGCTGCTCGTTTAAACTCAACGGTTTGTGCAATATCTGCTATTGGTCTAGACTTGACCAATCCTGTCGCAACACAAGTCGGCGATGACATTTTACGAGTTTCTTTTAGCATCTTTATACGAATACAGTCGCAATTTTTGGCCACGATATATGAATCCGCATTATATGAACCCGTTTTATAGAAGGGTCTACTGTAACAGGTTAAGCTCGTTTAGCAATTTTTGTATGTTAAAGAAGAATTTATAAGTTTATCAACACTAACAACAACAACAACAAAAGGAGTAGACATTTGTAATGCAGTTATAGATGCATTGGGCAAAAAAAGAAATATGTACGTCCAAAATTGTATCAGTAACAACTGACAGTGCTTGCAGCATTATTGGGCATTCAATTCTTGGTTTCCATTGCATTATTCACCAGCAAGTGTTGTGCGCCAAAACAGGTTTGAAAATTTTGGATGATATTATGAGTTTGGTGACAAAATTAGTCAATTTTATATCAGCAAGGGCTCTAAATAAAAGAAAATTTCAGGAATTGTTAAATGAGGTAAACTCATCATACAATAGTTTATTTTTGTACAATAATGTACTGTGGTTAAGCTGTGGAAATGTTTTGCAAAGATTTGTAGATTGTTTGGAGGAAATTAGATTATTTCTAAATAATGAGATTATTATTGAATAATACAGTTAATTAATGGATGTAGAATGGCTAGCAAAACTATCTTTTTTACTTATTTATGTTCTCACTTAAAAGTGAGTTAAATATCAAACTACAAGGTGTTAATAAAACAATCATTATAACGTTTGACTCAATCAAAGCATTCAAAGTCAAATTACAAGTTTTTAATTGCAACATTCTTTCAAATTCATATAAACATTTTTCGAATACAAAAAAGTTTTTTCTGATATTGAAAGTCATGAAAAATCAAATCAAGAATTTTCAGTGATAATTCAATCCCTGATCCAAGAATTTTCTGCAAGATTTATGCAGTTTAGACAATTTGAAGAAACTTCAAAATTTATTTTATATCCTGATAAAATACCATTTGATAAATTAAATTTAAAACTCTTTGATTGATTAAGTTTGCATGACAAAGAAATGCAATTAATTGATTTTCAGTCAAGCTCCATATGGAACCAAAAATTTGCTGATTTAGGTAAAGATTTGGAAGCAATTGAAAATAATCAATTATTGGGTATAATAAATAAAAGTGCTGAAGATGAAACTAATTACATGGAATGCAATTCCTGAAACTTTCAATTGCTTAATTAAAAACATTAGCAAAAGCAATTTTATCAATATTTTAATTGATGTGGGCATGTGAGTTGCTATTTTCTGAAATGAATTTTATAAAAAATAAATTTAGAAATAGGATGATGGACGAATCAAGCTCTTTATGTATATTTTTAAAAATAAAGTGTAATCAAGCAGATNAAAATAACAAAGTATAATCCAGATATAAAATCCTTATCATCTAATATGCAGCAACAAAAATCACATTAAAAAAACAAATGTTTATGTGTATTTTGTAAAACATTTAAATTATCCTTAATAAATTATAACAGATGGTATGATTCTAAAAATTAAGTATTATTAACTGAACTAAATAATTTTCTTGAAAAAATAAATATCTCAATTCATTTATCTTTTTATATAATATATACATATTTATTTCCATTTATCCAGAAAACTAATTACAGAAAAATTTCTTTATTTGAATAATTATTTAACTTAACTTACCTATCACCAATCATAAGACATCTGCTAGGATTAATATTAGGATGTTGTATTTTTATTGTTTCAAACATATATTTATTTGGTTTTCCTAATACAATTGGATTTCTTCCAGTAACAGTTTTAATTGCTGTCACAAAAGTACCAGTACCTAAAAATATTTTTAAAAAAAATTATTATATAATAAACTTAAGTGAACACACAATGTTACTCAAATAAGAACAAAATATTAATTTAATTATTATATTTATGATTTAAACATGTTTGTATGAAAACTGATTAATACATTGATAAGTAGCTTTCAAAGATTATAAATTGAGTATTTTATAATTATCCTCATTTAGCAATTGCAAATTAAGAATTTCTTTACACAGATTTTTAAATTTTTAGGAAATTAATAAAACATATAAACAAATTAAAATATCAATGTTTTTGAGAGAGACTATGTATTTACTTTTAAAAAGTTTTCAATTTCATTGAGAAGTAAATTTATATGAAGTAATATTACAGTAGTGTCTTGTTTTACCTGGGATTGATATTCATGGATTTAGGTTTATGCAAATGACAAATGATAAGTCAAAGATGGTGAATGTTTTTTAATCAGAAGGCCACATCCTCTTTCAGAAAGAATCTATAAGGCTGAAAAATTTACTGCAGGTTGCATAAATATACACATTTAGTATACATGCATCAACAATATATATAAATTGTACTTAAATAAAGATCTTTAATGAAAGAGAATGGAAAACATAGCTTTATAACTAATAAGATTAATTTTGTTGTCATGAATTTTATTATTTTAATTTTATCAGGCTGCACTACAAGCAACAAAATGCTGCAGGTTTCCCATACATGGATTTGGTTATCCTTCTCCAAGTGTCAATGAATCCACCTCTTAATTCAGCAACAAAATTTTTCTAGCTTCCAACAGTTGATGGCCAGATGGCCAAGGCAGTTAAAGCATCAGTCTACTGCTCTGGAGACCTGGGGTTAAATCTGGTGAACAACTCCTAGAAATTTTTCACGGGGCAGCCTTTCCCAGACACTTTGGGATACAGTCCTTACTCCTAACTAGTGACCAAATGGATAAAACCACTAAACACTAGTAGTTGGTTGCAGGTTTGTACCTCTACAATAGTCTGCCACTTGCAGTTTCCCAGATTTTCTTCATATATCTAATATCTAAACAGGGGCTAGTTTCCAGTAGATATCCTCCTTGGCATATTACAAAAATGTTATGTTGCCTTATTCCATCAATCCTATCTAAATCAGTTCCTCAAGACCTGGTCACTCCCATTGTAAACCTGGCCAAACTCATAATGGGTAAGGAAAAAATCTTAGTGCCCACAAGACAGAAGAGTTTAAAAAAAATTCAACATTTGAAGTATAGAAAACTACTGAATGCTACTTAATGTGATGAATAAGAATCTTGGTTTTCATGTATTCTTCTCACAGTGTACTTTATACAGATCAGAATAGTAAATTTTGTACTGAAATTTTGTATATTCAGAAATATCAGACTGAAATATTATTCATTATAGTAAAAACAGAAATAAAACAGTAATATCTGAAAAAATTCAATAGTAGAGATAACAGAGACTTATCACATTGCTACTGGTAACATTAAAATAAAACTTCTATCATCAGAATGCAACTTTATTACTGGTATGCATTTTGGTACAAAAGACCCTCATCAGCCATACATAAAAATATTTATGTATCTATAAAAAAATATATTTTGTTCACAATTAAAACTGTTTTTTAAAATTTTTTCTGGTTTGTTTTAAAATGTTGATTGTAATTGTTGTCAGTTTCTCTACATATTTGTTTTCAACAGGTTAGTTTCTAGAATTTTTTTTTAAATGGAATTGTATAATGCCTACCTCCTTTGTACCTACATAATGTTTACTGCTCATACCGTTATAGAATTTTGTTTTGTTTAGCACAGTTTTATGTATAATAATTTTCTATATTAATACCAATTGAAGAGGGACTATTTCCAATACTCTGAAATGCATTTTGGTTATTTATGTGATATTAGTCATACTCATGTAGTCATTTTTTTACTGTACACCCTTTTTGTTTAATTAAAGGATCTACATTTATTCCTGAGTGTTTGTGTTTATTATCACTGGTGTAATAAGCCCTTATTATTATCTACCTCATATTAGTAGATATTTAATTCAATTTAATTATACCAAGGGCTAAAAGCAATCTTTGTAGTAATTTCATTTGTAATCTTCTTTCTGAAATGTGATGTGCACGCATAATTCAAAAATATGAAACTAACACAGAAGAAACATTGAACATACAGTCACATATGGCTTCAGATAATTTGTTGCTTAGTATGATCCAAATTTGAAACATTTCTCAATGCATTTCCATTATGAACTTGTCATACAAGTTAGGAAATCTCTTTCTGTACAAACAGTAAAATTTGTTGCACAATAATTTTAATATAAAAAATTGGTGCATGTAATACAAATTACAGAATTGTGTTATTTCAGAAATGCATAAATTTTAAATTGTCTGTTAACTCTATATTATCAAGATATTTAGAGATGTAAACAAATTGGTAAAATATTTTTATGCATTACTTAATAAAGTGATTTTTGCAAAATTTTTTGTTGATATCAGTAAATTCATTGACACAAATAAACTTTAAAAATTTAAAACAATGAAATTAAGTGTTTTCATAAACCGGTTTAGTTTTGCTTTATTAAATCCAAAATTGTATTACAGTCACACATACACAAAGTACTTCTCATAGAAAATAAGGTTGAAATAAATAAAAAGTAATAGTATTCTGACAGTTATGCATCAATTGATGCTATTGTCAATCTAAGACAATTAAATATTTAAAAACTAAACCAACATCATTGCATGGAAATTGCTTAGATCCACGAATGTTTAGGAAATATTTTGCATAATTGTATTTAATTTGTGACAAGATAAGAAGCAGACTAGATTCTGAATGAATTTGATTCTTGTTTTAAATAATAATCTTCAATAGGTGGAGAAGGAGTATAATTATTGGTTAATCTACATGGTAGGCACCAAAAGTTTCTGGCTTAACTATGTTTTGGATGTTACAGATATAAAACAATGATATCATTTTTCAATATTGTCTCCTTGCAGTTCAAAACACTTATTACATCTAGAAATTAGCATTTCAATAGCCTTGGAAAAAGAGTCCACAGTTTTATCTGCAAAATGCTCATAAACTGCCTCCTGCAACTTCTCGTCATTTTTTCGAAGGTCTTTTTTGAGTTTTGGAAACAGATGATAATCACTAGGAACCAGGTACAGGCTGTAGGGTGGATGGTCAAGCTCCTCAAACCCACACTCCTTCACAACAGCCATGGCAATGGCAGCTGTGTGCACTGGTGTATTGTCCTACAAGAGGTGAACATGATGCAAATTAATGAACAAATCTAACTAAATGAATGTTTCCAGGCAACTTATGCAAATTGACAGAAAAAACTGTTTTATTAGTCCACATACAGATGATGCTATCTGATACTATTATTATTTTATTCCTATCATGTCTAAAATATAGTTAGGCCAGAAACATTTGTCTCCTACCTCACATTTTAATTGAGATAATATCTAAAAAAGTTATTATAAAAGTCAAAATAAAAAATTTGAAGTTTCATTTCTTAGGATTTAAGAAATTGTTTTATTTTTTATTTTTTCAGTATATTAATTTATTTAATATACTGAAATAAAGAAAAGTTGGGGCAAGACAAGACAACAAAAAAGTTTAAAGCATAACTTTTGAACTGAATAAAATAATTTTAAAATCTTTGTGCCAAAAATGACATCATTACACACTCAATTACAGAGTGCAAACATTTATGAGTCAGTTTGGAAAAATAGCTTCAAATGAGAACATATTGAGAGAGCGAGAGAGAGAGATAAAAATGTATGAAAATAAAACAAACCACTCAAAATAAATTGTTGGTGGAGCACTTTTGTTTAGCTGAAGGCCACAGCAAATCAACTGTATATATTATTATTATTTTGTAGTAGTATGAAATATCTGGAACATAGAAAAGAAGGCCAGGAAGTGAAGTAAAGCCAGTTGTTATAAATGCTAAAAACTAAAGAACATTGTGACAAATGTTTGACAACAAAGAAGCAGTCAGCCAGATGGAGGCAGCTAAAAATTTGATTGTCATTGAACATATATAAGTAAGACACTTAAGATGGGTCTAAAGAAAAAAAAGAACAAGAAGATCCCAGAATACACTGCTGTAAAAATTGTTGAAATCAAAATGTAATATAGATAGTTCATAAGAAATTTTGAATGATGAGAAGTACTTTTGTCTCTCTGGCACACAAATGTCAAGAAATTAAAATTACTATACAAGCAATGAAAATCAAGCACCTCCAGAGTGAAGTACAAATTTAAGAAGAAATTAAAAGCAAAAGTCATGTTGTGTATTGTCATTTCATCAGCAGATGTTTGATGTTTTGAAGCCATTTTTTAAGAAGGTATCTCTTGCAATTGATGCTGTCACATACCTAAATGAATCTACAGAAAATTCTAATCCTTTATCTTAACAAGCATCATCAAAATGATGGTTTCATCTTTGGCCTGACAAAGCTTTGTCTCACTACACAAATTCAACCGTGGAGTTCTTCAAAGCCAAAAACATTCCTTTTGTACCAAAGAACATAATCTGTTAAATCTGCCACAATGCTGGTAAATTGAGGATTTCTTTGGGATACTTGGCACAAATAATATGCAAGGAAGGTTGCCAAGCAAAAAATATACAACTGATCTGAGTAATGAGACTTTCACTTAAAAAATTCACACAGACTATCCAAAGGAGTTGTGGGTCTATCAAAACAAACTTATGGCATGCTGCTGACCATTGGCCATATGATAGTGTTCATTAATTCTATACTATTGTAAATGAAATTTATTTTAAAATGATATATAATATTTAATAGTTACTTCAATTTTTCAATAAAATATTATGCTTTAAAAACAATCCACATCATTTAGTCTCCCTCCATTAATAAGTTATATAATATAATTACATTCACTCAGTGTTTGGAGAATCTTTTATTAGAGGAAAGCTTCTGCAAAATTATATACAAATACTGTTTTTAAATACCAGGAATCAAAATAGTTGCTTCACAGAGAATCTTTTTGTTTAAAATATTCTTTCTGTGAATAAATATGCAAATATTTGTAATATCAACCTAAACAAGTTAACTTGGTAAGCATGATAGAGGTATTTTCTCAAACTTCTTCAACTGATTTCCAAGGTGTCTTCACATATCCAAGACTGTTGGATATGTGAAGACACTTTAGTATTTTTCAAATGTATTGGGTTGAACCGAAAGTTCGGGTATTTACATAATCGCTCATCTGCGGCACCTCTATCAATAGGGTTCACATTAAATTAAAAGTGATGGAGCAGAATATTGAGCAACTGGAACAAACCAGCATGATGTCTGCTGATTTCTGGATATGCAAAACTCAGCACTCAATGTTATCTCAAAAATTTGTAGAAGTAATGACTGATTACAATAAAACACAAACAGATTACAGAGAGAGATGCAAAGCTCATATTCAAAGACAGTTGGAAATCAGTTGACGTTTGTGAAAATACCTCTATCATGCTTACCAAGTTAACTTGTTTAGGCTGACATTATGAATATTTGCATATTTATTACATAAGTTTAATTACAGATATTTTTTAAAATTTTGTTATCTTTTAAGAAAAAAAAAAACATTAAAATGAAAGATAAGAAGGTGCATTTTCGACATCTCATGCTCTATTATTTCTGAAAAGGAAAAAATGTGACAAAAACTCAAAAAAGATATGTGCTCTATATGGGGAGGATGAAGTTACTGATCAAACATGTCAGAAATGATTTTCAAAATTCAGGGAGTGAGATTTTTCTCTCGAAGATACACCTCAGTCAGGATGGCCTTCAACCATAGAAGATGAGTCCATAATGGCTTTAATTCAAAATGATCGGCATAAAACAACATGAGAGATAGCCGACATCTTAAAAATATCTCAAACATCTGTTGTCAGACATTTGGCTAGCCTTGGATACCCTTTCCGTTATGATATTTGGGTTCCCATCAATTAAGTGAGTGAAACCTTATTGAGCGTGTTTCTGTATGTGATTCACTTTTAAAATGCAATGAAGACAATCCCTTTTTAAAGTGATTAATAACAGGTGATGAAAAATGGATCTTTACAACAATATGCAATGCAAGAAATCTTGGAGTAAGCCAGGTGATCCTCAAGTGCTGCAACCTAAAGCTGGTTTGCATCCCAGAAAAGTAATGATTTCAGTTTGGTGGGACCGGAAAGGGGTTCTTTATTATGAGCTTTTACCCAACAACCAAACAATTAATTCCATTAAATATTGTCTCCAACTGGATGAACTAAAGGCTGCAGTGCATCAAAAACATCCAGAACTTGCAAATCAATGGGGAGCCATCTTGATAATGCAAGATCGCATATACATTTAAACATGTGCCAAAAACAACTTCTAGACTTAACTGGAATGTTTTGAGTCACCCTGCATATTCTCCAGATATTGCTCCTTCAGACTATCATCTTTTTCGTTCATTGCAGAATAATTTAAATGGTATAGAATTTCAATCTTTAAAAAGTATCAAAAATTACATTGATAATTTCTTCAATCAGAAACCAACCCAAATCTACACAGATGGAATTATGAAACTACTCGTCAGGTGGCATAAGGTTATCGAACAGATGGATAAATACATTGTGGATTAAAGGTTTTTATTTATTTCAAAATAATATATTTTAATCTTTACCTAATATTATAAACAAGTATACAAAAATTTAAATTTCCTTTCCGACTTGTGGAGGATTATTGACCTCTTAACTCTAAAACATTTAATAAAAATGAAGTAGAATCAAAAATTAAAGGAAAAAAAACAAACCAGTTTCCAGCAGAGAAACACTTTTTTATAACTGTAAACTTTCCTCCAAATCCATTTCACCAGCTAGACTGGCCTCCTCAGTAGGGTTAATTAAAGTACACAATACAACATTCATCTTTAATATGTCTCTCTCTCTGTTCCTGTAGTTTTTTCAACCTTCCCTCCAAATCCATCTTTCTTAAAAATATATATAATGTTAAAAAAAATTCTAAAAAACAATGGAGTCAGAAGTTATTACTAATCTTTACCTAATTGTACTATAAGTTCTGACTCCATTGTTTATTAAAATTTTATTTTTTACAGTATATTTTATTTCTTTCTAAAAACCGAACAAACTTTCGGTTCAACCCAATATATATATTTTTAAAGATAGATACTATATTAATAAAAATTACACTTTTATAAATAAATATTTAAATATTTTATTAATAATACATATCAAATTGGTAAGTGCAAAGAAAATAATAACCAAATAATAGTAACTACAAAGAAAATATGCAGTCAAAAATAATAGCTGTGGCTATTATTCAATAAAACCAATAAGCAACAAATATATAATTTACAGGCTTTTATAACAATATCATGCTTATTGTTCCTCTATCAAAGAAATTACTTAATCCAAGTGTTCTTGCTGAAATTATTGGACTACATTTTAGATAATGTTGATAATTAATTATTAATTAATTTGACTACAGGTATTATAATATAATTAACTTAATTTAAAAATGTCTGGAAGAAAAGAATTGACCTGAAGTGGAGCTCAAAACATATGTGCAGCAAGCAGGAGTTGCAGGTTTGATTACCACTCCAGTCCTGAATTAAATTAATTTATAATTATTAAAATTAATAGGAGATAGTGATTTAACCACCTACCTATAGTTGAATTAATAAATAATTAACATAACCCAATAATTTCAGCAAGACTGTTTGGCAAGAAGTTGCTGTTTATATAAAAAATTACTTATTTTATTACTTACAGTAGCAAAAACAAATGTTCTTTATATATATCTCAAAATAAATTTAATATTAGACAGATGATAAATCTTAAAATATTCTAATTAACAGTAAATAAATGCTATTTGTTATTAACAAATTGAGAGAATCTCATAAAAAGATATTATTTTATAAAAATTGTATGTAAAAATTCTTTTATTAAATAAAATCTAAAATTAAAAAAAAACTATTATTATTATTGTTTATTTACCTGGTATAATCAAGTCAGTACTTGAAGGAAATTGTTCATCAGTATTAGTGGCTATAAATAAACAATCAGGATTTTTTAAATAACTTGCTGCTTTTATCATTTTTGGATAACTGATATGTTCATCAAAACCAACAACAACTGCTCCAACCTATTTATAAATTAATCATTACATTTTATTAATACTGTGCTTATTTTATAATTTATGGCTTCAAATAAAATTTGATATTTAACAAAATTTCAATAGCATCTAAATTATATTTTCAGAAAATTAAAACATATTCAATTAAAACACAGTTTTTTTTTCTAATTTTCCAAGATGAGATCAGAAAGATCAGACTAATGATTCAGTAATATCTTTGTATTCATGGAAAATAATGAAAAATGTGATTGATCCAGAGGATCAATTACATTTTTCATTATTTTCCATGAGATTTACAGATTTTTTTATATTGATTTAATACTTATCATCATGCTGTTTATGTTATGTTACTTGTAAACTCACAAAAGTTATAACTGACAACGTATGTATTCAGGTAAATTATGTATCTTTATTCATATTCTACAGTATTGGAGATTGTTAGACCATTGCAAGAGACCATCCAAAACATGTCTTAATGTACTTGAGAATAGAAAATTAGATTTTTAATTCATAATATAAAAGTGCTAAAGCAAAAATTTTTACCTTCAATAATTCTTCAGCATGTGTAAATACATGCTGAAGAATTCTTCAGCAATTGAATCTATTAGAGATCATAAGTATGACAGTTTATGCTGAAGAATCTTTAGTTACCTATCCATTATTTTTGCTAAAATTCATTTCTGATTTAAATAAAAGTTTTACATAATTTTACACAATTTTATTTACATTTACACAATTACAAAACAGTTTTACAAAGTTTTACACAACAAAAAATTTTTTAAACTACGTATTAATTTATGATATAGTGAAAAATAAACTATAAAATTGCACATTTAGTTACTAGTTGGTATGATAAACTCTCATTATAGATATTTATTATTTTTAATTTTGTGAATTGTGATAAAAAGGGCTAAAGGCTTTACATAATTTAAATATTTCATGTTTAAATAAGTATGTGAAATTAAACCTATATGTAATAATATAAAATAAAAATCACTACCTTAATCCTAGCAATGTATTCATTAAAATTATTATTTTTTATTTTATAGTAACACTTTTCCTAGTATAATACCATCATTTTGGATATATGTAATAGTAAAAAATCTTTGATACTAAGCAGTTTCAAGAAAATATTCACTTTCAATTTTAATCTTTTGGTTTTATTTGCTCTAATGCAAACATTCTTAATTGTGGATGATTTAGTGGTTACATTCTTCCTAACAACTGTTTATTAGAGGTGGGTAGTTCCAGGGTGAAGCCATTCCAATCTCAGTACTACTAGGAATAGTTCCAAACCAAGTGTCTTGACAGTTTTGGTCAGAATTATTAATGCATTCTTCATTTTGTACTTTTATGAATACAGTTTTTCATATGAACTCTATCTGGATTTGTACTTGAGTAAATGGAAATGTTGCACGAATTTTTAAGAATAATCAAATTTGTTTACAGTATCTTAAATTTATAAAAATATTTTAAAAATTTATAGTTTTATTACAGTTCATAATTATTTGTTTTATTAGAAACTAGCAGATATGTTCAGTATTGCCCAGCCAAACAGTAAGATGGTTAAACATTAAAATGAAAACCACATTACAAATTTGGTTATTTTAGTCTACCATTATGTTTATCTTGAAGTATTAAGATCATCAAATTGGGGATAAGAGGAGTATTTTGTGCAAAAATTTGGGTGCAGATCAGACAAAAGGTTTAGGAGATAATTAATATGGGGGATGATATCAGGAGGATTAAAGTGTCCAGGTTTCATGATAGTCTATATTTTCCTGAGTCTGAGTTAAGCAATAATAATTTAGAGGAGATTGTCTCTATCTGTTCTTAGATTTTTGGTGAAACATTCTAATTATATATATAAAACTGATAAGAGACATTTAATAAATATACAAAAAATATAAATACAACATTTTACACAAAGACTAAAAACCTTCGCCATTGTTTGTCTTCTGTCGTTCACACCATCAGCAGTCCATTAAAATTTACGAACAGTACAGAGACAACCTTCCTTTTTAGGCTACTGCCTCCACAATAAAATATGCAAAGTATGGTAAAGCATCCTCTGGTGCTCTTGCCACCAGAGGACGCTTTACCATACTTTGCATACTTTATTGTGGAGGCAGTAGCCTAAAAAGGAAGGTCGTCTCCATACTGTTTGTATATTTTAATGGACTGCAGAAGACAAATGATGGCAAAGATTTTTACTCTGTGTGAAAAACATTGTATTTATATTTTTTGTATATTTATTAAATGTAAATTACCATCAGCCATGTTTTATTTATACTTTTTTTTACTGATAAGAGACAGTCTAGTCCAACAGACTAAGCAATTCTGACAGAATGTAATAGTTCCAAGAAACTGTCTAGCCTAATGTGTTTATCAGAACAGTTCCTCGCTCATATCTGTTTCTGGAACTGAAATTGTTGGGAACTGGATTATCACTTCTATGGAATAAGCACTACCTATCCCATAGCTGTTTTGAGTTCAAATCTCAATTTTTTTACAAGAATTTTTTAAAATTTCATTTTCATTTCTGAAGGAAAGGCAAGTGCATTTTTCCATCATCAATTTATTTTTGCCTTTTTTTTTTACTAATTTACTTATGAAATAAAAATTAGTAAATACATATTTCTACACCCATAATTGAATTTAATAATAGTTGTACACATTGATTATCCATATTCAAAGAAAACTCAAATTTATCTGCAGACAACATTAGCTAGCAACTTGAAATGAAATATTTGTGATTATCTCACACTCAAATGAAAATTGCAAGGAGTAGGCCTATATCTGATTTCCATTTACAAGTCAGTAAGTTTTAACACAACTGCAACATCTACAACTCCAAATTAAATAGAATGTTTTCAATTCCCTTTAATTTGTGGTTAGTGTTTATTTACTCTATTGAAAACGTCTGTATTTTTGGGAAGTATACTTACTGGAAGTCAAATGAGAGGGCAATTAAAATAGATCAAGAGAATAAAAATACATGAATAAATTGCTTAAAAAAGTGAAAATAAAGGATTCAGTAATAAAAAATTGTAACCAATCTTCCCCAAAATTTAATATAAATAAAATTTTTAAAATTTCTCGAAAACTTTAAGATTTGAACCCAGAACAGCGATAGGATACACACTTTTAGGCTGGAACATAACCACTATGCCATCTACTCTCATGAAAAAGTTTGCACTAGAACATATAAATTGATAGCTTAATGTTAGTTCCTTTTCACTCTAAACTGCTTAGGATCAGTATTTTAATATGTTGCCACTTCCTTTAAGTCTTTTGGTATGTCTTGTTATAAAGAACTGTCATGACCAAATTTTTTTTATTAAAAGTGAAATCTGATAATGGAAGAAAGAAGACTGTCAATGTAATTTTAAATTATAAAATAATTCCTCATTATGTTTATTTGGATATACCATGTTTTTGTCTTCAAACATAAAAGATGTTATGAATGGAAGATCGAAAATGTTTTGCTTATTAAAAGTTAAATTCTAAACAAGATGTAATTTTATTACTGTATACTTATTAAGAAATTAAGTTTAAATGTCTTAAATAATTTAGAACTTAAGATTTTATAAATGGGTTTTAAATATGAAATGGTAATAAATTGAAAAATTTACCTTAGGATCAATTCTAAGATTTTTCACCCATTCTATCCAATCATTAGATATCGGATCTGGCTGGAAAAAGATTAGCAAATTTAATCAGAATTAATTTTTAAATTTTAAAGTTTATTATATTAAGTAGTAATTTATTAAATAAATAGTTGCAATTAATTCTATTGAACTCATTATTTTGTTAAATCATTACAGAATAAATTTATGATAATGACAATTAAAATGCACATTATTTTTTATTGTAAAGCACACATTTAATACAGATGACAATTTTTTGATAAAGATTTCTCTTAGCATATCTTTTGTTTTGCATATTTTTGATTTTGGAATTATTTTTGAATTCCAATAACCAGTGACACACTTGCATCAAAATGAGAAATAATAATTTTGCAGTCAAAAATAGAAACTAAAAACAAATGTAGATCCAAACACAATGCATATTACTTAACAAAATTTCATTAAAGATGTGTATTGTTCTTAATCTATTAATTTTAAGTCAAACAAAAAGTAATATTTTTAAATCAGAAGTCTATTTTTTTTTTTTACTCTCACACATTTTTAGAGATTTGCTCTTCTCCATTGTTAGATTTTTGAAACTTTTTCAACTTTTTGTTTTAATTAAAACAAACATAATTTTACAGTATAATTTTTATTAAGAACATCTTTTACTGTTTGACTATACTTTCCTCCAAAATTATTTAAATCAAAACCATCAGAACACTCAAGCAACCATGCATTTTGTTTATAAGAAAACCATTAGACCATTGTGAAAAAAATCAATTAGAATTTTGATTAACTTCATATGCTATTTATAAGAAATCAATTTTGTATTTGTAAGAAAAAAAACTTTTTAATTATAAAGTTTTAATATATCCTTATGTAAGTGAATTTCATTTACAAATAAACTCTAGAAAGTGCTCTAAAAATAATAAATCATTTTTAGAAATCAATTTTTATTCTTATTACAAAGTCAGAAGTCAAAGTCAGTGTACAGAAGTCAAACCTCACTATTAGTTCTTTCCTAAAGAACATTTCACACTAGAAAGGGTTGAGTCTAATTTTTAAAATCAAGACTTAGATGTTTTTTAGGACTACATATACCATTGTTAGTGTTCTTATAAAAAATGGAACCCAAGTGTTGACAACACATTTCAATGCTTCTTTTTTTGATCATTGAAAAAATTTTAAGTTATTTCCATGTATAACTCTTGGGATATTCATGGAAACACTGGTGGTACAAATTGAAGATGTTCAACAGCTAAATAAGAGCCATCTTTTGCTATATCTTTTCTTTCAAACTGTTCTAAAAATTATTTAATAAACATTAAATTATTATGATTATTAATTTCAATAAGAGATGGTGCCTAATGTCTATCTCTGATATCAAATTACTTAATATCTAATTATTAATAATAGCAAAAAATAGCCTGATTAATTATGGCAATTGTTTGGTTTACTATTAATACATCAGGCTGTCATAAAAAAATTAGCAACAAATTGAACCTTAAAGGAAATTCCAGGATAATCTATTGTAAATTCTAACATTTTCAATTTTAACAGGAAATCTTTCTCTAAATTGGAATGCAGAAATGGAACGTTTTTAAGAATTATTTTTAAAATGTATAAATGAGAATTTTTTAACTAATCCTCTCAAAGAAAAAAAATTTTTAAATAATTTAAATTGATAAAATCAAATTTAAAATCTCTTCAAAATAATTTTTTCAATTTAACTGTTCCCTTTGATATAAGGATTGCCAGGCATAAGATACTTGTCCTTCTTTGAAATTAATGCAATGGTTGCTCTTTTCAGATTTGAATATTTTGAGAACTTCCAGTTTCCTTATTTGGTTGACATGCTTAGATTGTTGTATGATAGAAGCTTGGTCTAGATGGGCTTGAATGTCATTGTCTGCGGCATACCTGGCTATGGCAATGTTGTATTTTCCTTTACTGATATCATACTTGTGTTCAACCAGCCTTACTTTGAGTGATCGTGTAATGGCACCGATGTACTCAAGATCAGGATGGAATCTATTGTCTCTCACGTAATCTTATAAATGCCAGGAACCCTAAGCATGTATGAGAATAAGAAGTTATATACCTACAAGAAAGGTTAGAAAGAAATCTCACGCATAACTACTGCAAGAAATTAGATTGGATCATCAAAAAACAACAACGAAATATAGGTGTACAACTTCACCCACAATTGATTGTTTGGGACAACATATCGCTCCCATCCTTCCTCCTCGATGCCTTCAAATGTGGACCATGTTTGCACCCAAACTGAGGTATTGCTACCATGAAGACATAGTGCCAAACATTGAAAAGCTCATTGTCAGCATGGATGAATGACAAAGAACTTTATTGATGGAAAACGGCTTTCCAGATAAAATCCTTTAAGGAGAGGAGCCAGAAAGAAATGCAATGGAAACTTCTGTAGGAGAGCAAAAACTGGATGTCAGACAATATTTATATATATATATAGCTGAAACAAAATTCATAAATTGATTCTTATATAGTCCTTATATCCTTTATATAGGTATACTTCAGTTAACGTTCACCTCTGGTAATGAAGCAGTAATTTCCAGTCCCATGTAAAGTAAAAATATTCAAATTTCAAGATTAATGCCCAGAAGTCATCCAATTGCAAAATGACAGCAACTCGTCATATATTCCAAGATACAAATGTGTGTATTTTAACAATTTCGTGCATTATCGAAGTAATTTTGTCATTGTTTACACTTTGTAAGATGTGTTTGAATGTGATATAATGAAATAAATGAAGTATGAAAAAAAGAATAAGTTGTACTAAAAGAAGAAAATAACATTCAATAGATTAGAAATGAAGTTATCTAGATACCTCAATCAATAGGCTTTGAAAATGTGGACAAAGAGGATGTATGAAATTTATTAAATGCAAAAGATAATAGTTTTTCAGTGGAAGATTTATAAATACTTGTTAACAACAAAGAAGAAAGAGAGACAATGACAAAATTAACTTAAAGAAGTCTTTACTGAAAAAGCATTAACCACCAACGATTTAAATAGATGTTTGAATGACATTGAAAATGATCATAATTTAAGAAGTATTATTATTGTTAAGCAATCAGTGTTAATTGAACAAATCTGTACATGTAATTGTTAAATGAACAAGAAAAATAAGCATAAACAATCAACTTTAGTTAACTGCACAACACACCATAATGATAAAATACGACTTCCATCAACCATCACTCAAATGTTAATTGTATTCACACCAACTAATGGTTGATGGGAGTCTTATTTTATAATCAACTTTAGATTCCTATTTTAAAATGTCATTTTATACTTATTTGGAATGTAATGTTGACTTTTTATTTAATAAAGCTTTTCTTTTTTCAACAAAATCCTCATTTTCTTTACGTAAGAACATATCCCTATTAAGATCTCAGTATTTTTACCTCTGAGAAGGAAGATTTGTTTAACAAAGTAATTTTGTGGAATGCATTCTCTTCGTTAATCAAGGTATGACTGTTTATGCAAAATAAACATGGTATATGGCAAAACATCAATGCCAGGAGGTCACAGCAGTGACTCTCCACCAAGTAAAAAAGTCACCGACTATATATCTATATATATAGGAATCAATCACAGTTGTCAATTTTCATGGTAGATTTCTCTGCCCTGCAAATACCCAAAGTAATTCCAAATATCTCATTCAAAATAAACTTGCTTTCTGAAGGAGTGTGCAAAATTTAAAGATTTTCTGTAATGTATGTGATTGCTGAAATACAAGCAATCAAAAAGTGCAAAAATTGCTAAAACAAAATCATATTTTCTTCTCCTTTTTCTTCATCCAGTTCTGCAGGTGCTTGTATAGAAAGATTACTGGGTCTAGAAACCCAGTAATCTTTCTGGGTTTTCAAATTTTAAACTTAAGTCTTTCTTGTTATCAGTGAGGTGAGGTGCTGAAGAAACTTCTGAGTCAATAGGTCAATGTTTATGGGAGCTCCCCCATAAAGTTAATTCAATTTTACAACTTAATTTTACATTTATAAAGATAAAATTGCATGGAAATGAATGAATTTTATTCAAAATGTTACTCAGAATTACAAAAGTTCAAATTTATGCAAATTAAAATTTTTTATAATCTTTCTAATTAGCATATCAAAAGCGTTGGTCAGCAATGTGTTCACTCAGCACTTGGTGATCGAATTGTACATCATCATCTTATGTATTGACATAATAATACAATAATGAAACAAAAACAAAATTTATGACAATTAAGATGACAGTCAAAAATTTTCTTAGTAGTTTTCCTTTGGTAAAGATAAGCTTGGCACTTGGAGGCAAAATGTAGAAAAAAAATAATACAGGTAAAAATCTTGAAGGTATTGCTTCCAAGGGCCAAGCTTACCAAAGAAAAACTACTAAGAAAATTTTTGTCCGTCGTCTAAATTGTCATAAATTTTTACTTGGCACAATTATTGTACATCTTATACACCAGAAAACTGTCAGTGTTCTGTTTGTCATAATAAATCAACACATTTAAATTTATTATTTAAATCAAGTTAATTTAACTTTTTAAAAATTTATATTAATATGAAAATTTAAAATAATTCTTACACACAAATATTTTGTCATAAATTATTAAACAAACAATTTTTAAGCTACAGTAGAACCTCCATTATCCGGACCTCCATTATCCGGATTTTCGATTATCCGGATTGTCCAAAATAAACAAAAATTTTACGAATTTGCGGATTTGCACTTGGCGAATTACGATACTGTTTATGTACGTGATGGAATGATAACTTTTTTTGTTTCAACAACGTCTCACCCAGCACAGTGGTTGTAAACTCTTAAATATATTTTGCGTCGTAATAAAAATATAACTTGACATACGTATTTATAAATAATTTATTTTCAAATTACATCATTTCTATGACCAAGGGCGGCGTAAGGCATAGGTAACGTGGGCCACCGTCTATGCCTCGCGGTCCGAAGGGTCTCGCGTTTCGAAGGTTTATGCATTACTTAAAAGCCGCGAACGCGACGAAAAAATTTTACTCGTCATAAAACGA